CTTCTGCACCAACTAATATTCTCCATTGACATTTTTTTCCATCATAAGAAATAAAATGGTTATGGTATCTGTCTGAATAAAAGTTAGCATTAGTTTTATCCAAAGCAGTTATATAAGGCGTCCCAAAATGTACGCGAGATTTGAATTTCGCGCCATTCGCGCGGCAAATTGTTACCAACGAAACAAAAGGATAGCGTGACAGCTGTCAGCTCAGAGTTATTAAAAATGGCGCGCTACGTGAGGAAACAACGCTTTTTTCTTCATTGTTGGGTAATATTTACAATTTTTAATTGAAAACCTCGGTCTTTTATCAAAATTACTTCTCACGTGAATTTTGGAACACCAAATATATTTTCATAAATTGCAAAAATAATTGAAAGTGCAAAACTTACCTGCAGCAAGTGATTTTTTTAGTGCTAATGTTAAAACATAGTTCATTCATTTCAAATACCACTATTTTTAGTACTATGTCTGGTAACCACAATCAAATTGAGCACCAGGAGGGTTAGGTTTACATACCTAACTAACTCGATGATATAAATATTTTTCGTGATTAAATTGCGATTAATATTAGAAAGGATGAGAAAATAACGGTGAAAAATGAGAAAAAGGATACGTGACGTTTGTAATCTTTTAGGGTGCTCATCAATGAAGCTATTTTAGCAGGCTCTTTCGAAGAAATTAGGTCAGAATGTGTATTTCTGGAGATGGGGAGGTCTGAGAATGATCTTTTCTATATGTGTCCCTCTGGTGGTGAATATGTGAAGATCCACCTAGCACAAAAAAAGAATGTTGAAAAATGGTCATTTTTAACATCGCCTGGAAATGAACAGTTCCTTCGGGACTTTTAAGAGCATCTTCCAAGGAACAAGAAATTCCTTTATCACTTTGCCGAGAAACGATGGGAAAGTTGTCAAAAATGAGTAGAAATATGTGAAAATGAGATTGATCAAATATAGGGTGTCCTAAGAACGGTAGTACAAACGATAAGATGTCATTTTACACGCAGAAACGAATCGAAAAAAAAGAATAAAATTTTTTCATTCGAAGCTTCGTTTTCGAGAAAATCGACTTTGAATATTCACCGAGTGCGTGTGCACTTAGCTATGACTTATATGGATAGATCATCAATACATGATTATCGGTGGTACAATCGAGGAGGGGGTTATTCTATGTGAAAAAACGAATCGAAAATAAAGAATAAAATTTTTTCATTCGAAGCTTCGTTTTCGAGAAAATCGACTTTGAATATTCACCGGTGCGCGTGCATTTAGCTATGGCTAAGGCGGATGGAGCTCCAGTGGATATTCAAAGTCAATTTTCTTGAAAACGAAGCTTCAAATGAAAAAATTTTATTCTTCATTTTCGATTTGTTTTTTCACGTAGAATCACCCTGTATTTGATCAGTCTCATTTTCACATATTCCGGCTGATTTTTGACAACTTTCCTATTGTTCCAAAGAAATAAAGGAATTTTTCGTTTCCTTGAAGGACGTTCTTAAAGATTCTGAATGAATTTTTCGTTTCCAAACGATGCCAAAAATGGCTCTTTTTTAACATCCTCCTTTGAGTAACGTGTTATAGTCGACTAAATAAAACACGCGAACGTCTTTTGCTGGTAAATTCGTGATGAACAGTATTGGAGAAAAGGGTCCGTTTTTGAGTCAGGGCTTTAGGGTATTGCCGGGAGTATCGTTTATCGTTTACGACGATATGTTTAGAATTTCGATGTCCATCGTTCTGAATAGGTGTCGTAAACCTGGACGTTTCTAAGGGTGGATTAAAAATGGTACGTGATGGTCCGACTGGTCGAGGGTCAGACCTTGCCAAAAAATCGCTTAAAGCTTCGCGTCCGTTCAGGGATCATCGACCCACTCTGAGCGGAGACGCACTGAGGGCACGTGGAAGACTGTTTGCAGTACCCTAGAAGCATGCTGATTGGAAATTATCCAAACTCGATGGAAACCAATCAGCATGTCAATTGGAGGGATCTATACTCGGAAAGCAAATAAAGGATAAACATTCGAGTCATTTAAGTAAAAAGATACACGGTAAATTCAATATTCAATATGTACATATAATCCTGACTAGGAGAAAAATCAGCTCATCAGAAATATTGGTGACTTGGAGATTTAATTCATATGGCGAATATTTGATACCAAGGTATTGGAGCTATTACTACAAGAATAAAAATAATGTTTATCTATTAATAATACTTCGTATAATACAGAATTTTTCTTTTCTGAATTTTTCTTTTTTCGATTCACTTCACTTTTCTTTGGACAACCTAACCTAAACGCATGGCAAGATAACTTAACCTAAGCTAAAACCGTGAAATAGCAAACTAACCTAAACAGTTGTAATGAACATTAGACTATCGTGATTTGTGCAGGTTGTAAGAAACCAATTGGGCACTGCTAGAATCACAATCGAAGAAAATCGATATATAGAATAGGAGATTTAATTCATATGGCGAATATTTGATACCAAGGTATTGGAGCTATTACTACAAGAATAAAAATAATGTTTATCTATTAATAATACTTCGTATAATACAGAATTTTTCTTTTCTGAATTTTTCTTTTTTCGATTCACTTCACTTTTCTTTGGACAACCTAACCTAAACGCATGGCAAGATAACTTAACCTAAGCTAAAACCGTGAAATAGCAAACTAACCTAAACAGTTGTAATGAACATTAGACTATCGTGATTTGTGCAGGTTGTAAGAAACCAATTGGGCACTGCTAGAATCACAATCGAAGAAAATCGATATATAGAATACGAGATTTAATTCATATGGCGAATATTTGATACCAAGGTATTGGAGCTATTACTACAAGAATAAAAATAATGTTTATCTTTTAATAATACTTCGTATAATACAGAATTTTTCTTTTCTGAATTTTTCTTTTTTCGATTCACTTCACTTTTCTTTGGACAACCTAACCTAAACGCATGGCAAGATAACTTAACCTAAGCTAAAACCGTGAAATAGCAAACTAACCTAAACAGTTGTAATGAACATTAGACTATCGTGATTTGTGCAGGTTGTAAGAAACCAATTGGGCACTGCTAGAATCACAATCTAAGAAAATCGATATATAGAAACTTTGAATTAAAATCTAAGAATCTTCTGACAATCGTATAATACAGTCCTGGAACGATAACCTAACCTATATATGTGGAACGGTAACTTAATTTAAACACGTGAAATAGCAACCTAACCTAAACAATTATAATTAAATTTGTGCTATCGTGATATGTGCAGCTTGTAAGAAACTAATTGCTAAAGCATTTCTAGGATCACAATCAGAGAAAATCGATATATAGGAATTTATAGTTAAAGTCCACGAATCTTCTGACAATCGTATAATACAGACTCGTGACAATAGCTCATTCAGAACAGTCCTCTGGTAACAGTTGGTCCAAGTTAGTCGTTCGAGTAGTTACACGAAGCATATAGTCCAACATTCGAAACAATGTGTACTTTAACGTTGTAGTCCATCGTTTTGGACAAAGTATAACATTCTAATGGAACCCACTGAGCACTTCATTTCCAAGTTAGTCGTTCGAGTAGTTACACGAAGCATATAGTCCAACATTCGAAACAATGTGTACTGTAACGTTGTAGTCCATCGTTTTGGACAAAGTATAACATTCTAATGGAACCCACTGAGTCTCTTCATTCTGACCAATTGTGCCATAATTTGACAGAAACAAAAATTACGCATCACTGTGTTTAAGACAGGTTCTTCAAAAAATGTAATACGATTTACAATAATATAAACCTTCTCTAAAATATACCGGGTGGACCATGCAACGTGACCACCTCGATTATCTTCAATCATATACTTATTAAAGCAACAACTAAAAATTATTTTCTTATAAATAATATGATTATTAGTATCATTAGTATTGAAATTTTTATACCTGACCAGCATAATACTGAACGACTTGATTTTTTATTTTTTGGCAATAGTATCTCTTCGTTTAAAAACCAGATCGTAAATCTCTAAGCAAATTGTTTATATCGGCTATATTGGCATTTGTATCATACATAACCTATATTCTTTTTCTCTCTAACAAATCGATATATTTTTATTTTTTGTTTATGCACTAATGGGTTCTACTATCCGTGAATTATTATTAAATAAATAAATAAATAAATAAATGTGTGAGAGAACAACAGAAAGATAATGACAGTCAAGTTTGTCCAGCTAACTGTGTCACTGAAGATAAAAAAATCAACTTACTGACAACAAAAATTATCGAAGTTGTGTTAAGTGGTTCACCCTGTATCTACAGCATAACTGGTTAGATAACCGATTCTATACATAAAACTAAATCGAAAAGGAAGAATAAAATATTTTCACTCGAGGCTTTATTTCTGAGAAAATCGAGCTTGAATATCCGTGGAGTATGCCTTCTTGTATTCCCTGCGAATCGTGTTGTTGAACGTTTCTAGTATTTTTCAAATCCACATCAAGTAGTTTACAGACTGACAGAATAACGCAGAGGACTACTGTTTTTAAAACGCTGGAAAACAAAGATAATCTACGTTAAAATCCACAGAGTTGACGTATGGTTCAAGTTGCGTGCACTCCACGGATTTTCAAATTCAATTTCCTCAATAAAGGTAGCTCGTACGAGAAAATTGTTCTCTTTTCCTACTTATTTTTAGACGCAGAGTCATCTCCTGCCTACTTATGCCACCTAACCTAACTTAACTTAACCTAACCTAACTTAGTATATATACATATATTTTACCATACTTTCAGTTTTAACGGCGAGAGAAATATTTTTCAGCACACATTATATTCGTCACGGCTCGTTAACTCTAATTTAAATTCCTCCATGTACCATTAAAAAAAGAAAAGAATAAAATGGCGAACGCAATAAAATTTCGCCTTGCATGACAGATTATGGTCAACTGTGCTCGCTTTAACCGTTCTAATGAAAAGTGCTGATAGTATAACACTTTCTTGACGTTTGTTGGACAGTACCGCCGGATATCGTTTACGGAGGTGATACCAGCGCCGACTTGGCAGTTTCGGAAGGCGACAATGCAACTCTAAGCTGTAATGCAACGGGAAGACCGACCCCAAGAGTGTCCTGGCGAAGGGAAGACGGAGAACCCATTCTCATAAGGGTCTCTTCTCCTGGTACATAATGACACTATAAAACTCGTGGGTATCTCCGTGGACAGACCTCTTTCACTTACCGCTCCGTGAAAAAAGGAGGAAGAGGGGGAAAAAGGCAGAGAGACGACGAAGGTTTAATTTCGTTTGCTAGCCATTACTCCCTTTGTTCGCCTTTCTGTTGCCCCTCTGTTTCCATCCTCCCTTTCTTTACTCGAACAGAGCTTTATTACAATCCTTATGATCGGTAATCGCTGTCCCGCTACTTTATGTCACTGCAATCGATAGTATATTGGGATGGGGGCAGCACGTAACATTCGAACGTCCCTTTTTGCGGCCTGCGATCTTCGCTTTATCGCATTGTGTTATACTTTCAATCATGCGTTTCCAATACTTTATATTTTTAATATCGCCATCCTGAACCAGAGTCGCTGCTGCATCCGACATTTTCTTCCCCTTCCCTCTGCTTCGCGACTCGTTTATACGCAACACTTGCTCGTCATAAGCGCACTTGCAGTATCGAAACGCTGGGAATTCAAATCTGCCTTTGTATTTCGTATTTCTGCTTTTTAATATATTTAACATTGCCTCCACTGCTGATGCGCTGATGTATGTTTAACAGCCTGGTGACATGCGCTCGACCGCACGCATCACACGTGTCGGGGAATCCCGGGGATTCTTTTAACCGTAAATTTCCTCTTTCCTCCTCCACAACGTTAATTCTACACTTTTGCAGTAATTTTTCTCCGTTTACGGCCCTTAATTACATCGCCGAGCAAGCATTCCGCCATTTATCCGTTACAACTCGTGAGCGGGAATTTCAAACCTGAAAATAAAATGGCGGATGTGATTAATCGAATTTAATTGCCTGTTCGTACTTATAACTCTTTGAACCTGTTTTTCTTTTTTATTCGCTTCACTTCAAGCTCCTTTGATTGGATTTAACTTGTATACCACATTTGTCCACGTCAAATTTTAATCGATGAACGCTTTGATACGTCGTTAATAGAAAGATCGATAACTTGGAAATTGGACGTGAATAAAATTACGAAAGAAATATTGTGGTTCCATTAATATTTATGATGCAACAGGTTTTCTAGCAGAATGCTGTATTAAAGATTTGAGGTTATGATAACCTTACCGAAGACAAAGTTTTTGATTAACAATTCGCTTTGTATCTATTGTATCATCGTTGCAAAATTATACGCGATTTAAAGAGTGTTAATGTTTATATGTACACAGTTTGTACAATTTTGTGTTATTTGCCGCATGATAGTACACGTATAGCATGCAGCGTATACCTAACTGCTAGGCTGTTAGGTGTCGTAAGTATACACCAAAGGATATTCGCTATTCACCACCATGTGACTTTACATTAGTTTCGTGTTAATAGGGTAATTAGGCTGCACTAATATCCTAGTTACGTCGAAGTCCTCTTCGTACGAAAGGAGGTCTTACTAGAATAATATGATTTTATATGTGGACCCAGTTATACCTAAGACTATGGTTATACAGAATGCTTGCTTTAACGACTGGTTTATTTGTTACGACATGATAAAACAATTATTAGAGAAAAATTATCTGTACTGAGATAATAAACATTTGGAAAATAATTTTTGTTTTTCCATCGTGTGGTACAGGAAGCGTCAACAGTAATGTGATAAGCATAATGTTTAAGTGATATATGTTATACATGATAAAATTAAAATTATGATACGTTGTATGAGCATAATTTGTTTGAGAACAGTGATAATTTCCCAGCTCTGTGGTTAAAGGTACCAAAGTGATTGAAAATTAAATGCGGAACACCACGTTTAATTTTAATTTTATCTTCATTGTTGACATTGCATGCCTGCTTCTGTACAGATATTTGTATGTATTATTAGAATGGCTGAATTCATTGCTTTCTATGATGAAGTAATTTTTGGCAATCTTATTATTAGTAATTGACAATTGGTGTATACTAACCTGAAAATATGGAATAGAAATTTGTAGTGTAAAGATATTCAAATATTTATCTTGAAACTTACTGTTTCTGAGATATTCAACTTTGCTCATCCTGCTAACTACTTTTATCATGAAACATGTTCAAAGTTACAATACTGTGTAAAAGTTTCTGGCTAGATAAATTTTTTATCTTATATTACAATAAGTATATCTAAAAGAATTTGAACTCTAATATTGGATGTCAGAATAAGACAATGCAATAAATCATTACACTAATTACATAAAATTGTTAAAATAGTAATCTGTATATTATCTTACAATAGATTTAACCTCTTGTATCTCGAAAATTATTATTAATATTTTGTAATCGCTCTTCTCATACCGATAACAATAGCACAGGAACGAGGGATGGAGTCAATTAACCTCGAAATAAAGTGTGAAGGGTTTCCACTCCATTCTTCCCTTATGACTTCAAATAATTCTAATAATATTTCAGCTACCTCTATAAATACTGGATTAGATTCAGATATGAGCTTCAGCTGACCAATTCAAAGCTTTTAATCCGATACAATTTTTAGCAGATCAACATTGTTGTATAAAAATATTCTATAAAGTTATTTTATAGGTAATTACTATAATCGATTCGTATCTAAAATAACTTCTTATGTCAAAGCAATCATACGTCCCTTATTTTTCCTACACATGGATTGCTTCTTTGAAGAGCAAAAAATGGTTCGCACCATAAGATCATCTCGACCATGTTTTAGAGTCATAGTATATCAGTTTTCTTTCACCGCTTTCCTCTAAATTAAACTCACTTATCCAAATTGAAGAGATCTCTTCTGCTCGAGTCGATTCATCTGAATATTAGAAAACTCGTTATACAATCGTCATAAAATCGCTGATATTTATTTATAGAATAAGTGAATATGATTCTTACTGAAGACAAAAAGTAGAGGATGATTGGTATGGAATATCTCAAGACCAGTAAGTTTCCTTCAATCGTGTACCCATATTTCTATCAGCATCCTTTGTCTTGACACCTGAAACACGATCACTTTTTGACTACTGGTCGATTTCACAAGCTCGCTACACCGTAGCGCGTACTATAAGAACATGGTAAAGTGGGTATAAAGAGGCAGGTCGTTGAAACAAGTTTCACCTCTTGAACTCGAAGACAGAAACAGCGGGCGCGCGTGTAAAGAAACAGAGGATGAGAATCCTCTTCATGGTATCTTGTACGGCGCACACATCCAAGCCCGGAGTTAGAGTCGTGTACATACGCTGTAGGGACACGTAAAACGAACCACGGGGCTTACGCTTGCAAGGCCTAGGAGTGTATATATAGCGTGCGTATACGTACAACATCGTTTGTACACACATCGAGGAAGCGGCACGTGGTAGTTTCTGCTGCAGGGCCTCGAGTTGGCAAAACTTTGGTCGACGTAGTTGCACTGCCTCCTCTCACCTTCCACGGATGCAGCTGAAACGTTCAAGACTCGCTGTATCTGTCTTTTTTACTTTACATATTTTTCCCCATCCCCGGTGGTTAACGGTTGTCGTTGCGAGAACCGCTATTAACGTTTGCCCCAATGCACGAGTAAACGTACTTACAGGTTAATGGAGTAAACAGAAATTTACCACCAGGCTAAATCATTCTTTAATGGTATTTACCCCGAGAATGATATTAATATCTTCGGCACCTTTTATAAAAGGGATTATTATTTACCCACGAGAGACTTCCGTTACCTATATAGATCGATATAAATAATAATCGACTGTATTAAAATTATGTATCAGCAACAGTTATGGTATATAGGGTGGACCACTTGGGTAAGTTGATCTCTTCTGTCTTTGGTAGCACAGTCAGCTTAACGAAATTCGTATTCTACTACCTGTAACAAAATAATTTCTTTTTTATTTTCCCAGTAACTGGATAATTGAAGATAATCTAGGTGGTTACGTTACCTGGTCCACCTTGTATACGGATTTCATCTGAAGGACACTTGCCTGATTAAAGGGGTATTCTAGTCTAGGATCTTCAAACCTTTTATTCTATTTTCTGAAAGTATATGCCTTTGAAAATATTTCTACCAGTGGATATTGTTGGATCTGAAAAATTAATGAAGTTATTAGCGTGCACATATTCGTATGAAATAATTTGAATGCGTTTTTCTCGAAACCATATTTTTCCAAATGGTTGCCATGATATCTCGAGTTCTAGTTGACCGATTACAACCAAATTTGGAGGGTATTTTTCAGCACTATATATGATCTGTATATATCATCCATACAAAAATTTTTGAAATATAATGCATTTTTTTGGCACGCTGAAGTTAAAAAAAAGTACAAAAGATTGATAACCTAACTTTAAAGTGCTACCAAAAATTTTCTCCGATATTTTTATATAATTTTGATACCGACGATAGTCACATTCATATTGAATAGGATGAATGTTTGTTTGTCCATTTCAGAAAAGAAGAACAGCCGGAATCATGGCAAACGTGCAGGCATGTTCAATTGAAGAGGTACTACTAAACTAGCTGTATCTTTGACAATTTTCAATATTCTTTTACGAGAAAAATAGTATATATTCCATAAATATAGGTTAAAACTGTGCCGTAACCTCAACATAGTAATTTTTTTATGGATCTTTAAAAAAAATCCCAAATGCCACCTAAAAAATTCACCTCTAGGCTAGAATACCTCCTCAAACAGATACCAGTTGAGAACAAGTTGGAAAGAAGCTAGTGTGAAGTGGAATAAGTGCAAAGTACAAATGCATTTTTAGACTGCATCGATGCTTCCTTTCTAGATACACAAAACCACTGCTCACGTGTAACTTGCGTCGCTTTTCTACCTGACGATGACGCTTTTCTTACGAGCTTTACAAACTCGTTAGCGTTCGCTCACTTAAGAAACTCGTTAGCAACCTAAGTAGTGAATTAAGCATATATCTTCTCGTCTCTTCGTTCGTTTACGTTGTGCGTCCAGCTTCCGGCTATCTCCCTTTTTCTCTCACACTCTCTCCATCTCTTTCTCCCTTCCTTGCCTTTACGCGCAACGTACTTCCGTTCACCCACTCCACTTTGACGGTAGTTTCTTCGTTCAATTGCATTAGTCTGTGGTTTCGACCTGGTTGAAAGTTCTACCTGGATTCGTTTAGATCTGGAGAGTTGCAACTTCTTGTCCCAAGAAATAATGTTCTTTGCATTTCGCGGCTTTTCGTTGGCAATCTTTCATCCTTGACTGTCCTTGTGGCTCGACACTGGAGGGCTCTTCGCTGCCTTGTTTTCTCTTGTATCACCCTTACCACGTAATGCAATTAAAAAGACCAAGAAGGTAGGTGATTCGAAAAAAGCACATTGTCGAAGATCGATGTCTTTCTTGGGTTCCTCGCTTGACCTGCTACTAAAATTAGAGAATGGTGAGAAATGCATAGAGCCGGATTTATTCATGGAAAACGTTGCTTCGAGCTTTTCTTATGCTTACGTAAATATATCTAGGTGTATTCAGTTATCGTGGTTTTATAATTGCTTTCTCAATTTCGCAGTTAACGTCTGGCATGGCTTAAGCATAATTACTGAATCGGTATTGTGTATACAAATTTGCTTCTCCAGAAAATACAGGCAAAGCACTCGAAACACTTTCCAATATTAGTTTGTATTAACTCAACTTCGGATAATTAGATTTCACCCGTGTTTCGTTTACTGCGGGCGCTTAAATACTGTAAAATAACGAGAAATCGTATTTCGTTATTACCCAGAATGACTTGGTGCTTGAAACTCGCAGAACCACCTTACTTTCTTTGATATTGCATCTGAAAAGAGTTTAACGTGAGATATTTCGTTGAAAAGAAAAGTAAATGAATTTGTGAAATTTGAAAATTATAAAAATATGACTTAGTGCGATTTAATTAGTTTTACTTTGATAATCCGCAATCTCGTCGCGTAACAGCTTTTTTATTGCATTTTCTATGTATATAGCCACGTACAATTATTATCTTATTTACTTTATTATGTTTCTCACGTTTTGACTGCTGATGGGCTGATGGAAAGAACAGATTTTATGCTGCCTCTGTATTTTCATTATTCCTCTGAAACCTAATTTATATTTTCATATAGAAAAGTATTTTTATACAACCTCCAGCTTTTTCAGAATTTCTGAATAGTTATTTTAATAGAAGTCCTCGACGTATTTGGTCAATTTCTTTTATAGTAATTTTCAATATAACAGTTTCCACTTATCCAATAATTTATTTCAACAATGTATAATTTCTCCATTTTCTTTCTAAAATACTCTTTCTCCACCATTGCAGTCCGATTCTACGCACAATTTTATTTCCTGTTAAAAAATTGCATACACATCTGAATTAATGATCAGCTTGTGTACAAAAAAAGAAATTTATAATTTACTTTTTATTATAGAAAACATACTTACCGACCAAATTTTGAACATCATCTGATTTTTTCAGCAATATTAATATTTATTATACATTTCAATTAGAATATGTATATAAAATTTATAATATGATATATATATTGCAATATGTATCATGATATTATTACGTAAAGTAACAATAGTAATATGGCGGCCATAAAGTATCAATTCCAAAACATAACCAACATGTCGGTGAATATATTGGTACTTAGTATATTAGCAGCTATAATATGTCGTATAAAAATAATTTATCATAAAACGACTCCATGAAAGAAAAAAAAATTCTTTGTCACTTTTCCCTTGCCAGCTATTTCACGTCCTTGATGCTTTGCAAATATGTATCATCGTGTCTCTGCCTTTCGTGAACTCGGGAATTGTAAGATGAAGGAAACTGTCGACGGCCGAGGTTACGGAATAAAGAATGATCCGTGAGAAGGATACGAAAGCAAGACAAGGGAGAGAGGGCAGTCGGTTAAAAAGACAAACCGGGTGGGGGGGTCAATTTTCAAGAAAATATGCAGACAGAAAACGTTTTCACGGTGCACAGGTGAGAAATACGAGACCTACAACGGTTCCCAGCTGCAATTCCATCGCGTCGAGAGGCGACAAATGGGGGCGTATCTGTGCATCGCCAGCAACGACGTGCCGCCTGCCGTTAGCAAGCGAGTGACACTCGCCGTGAATTGTAAGCTTGTTTTCCTTCTAATCCGCGATTGTAGCCAGCAGAAAGGCTCCCACTAGCGACGAAAGGCGAACTACCGCGCTGTTGGCGTAATGATTCTGCAGTGACGAATCACTCGGAAATCAGTGATGCAACCACAGCGTGTAATTGTGTTTTAAAGTCGCCACAGCTTCTCACAAGCCACTGACAATCACAACAACGATATATTGAAGCGACTCGAACGAGAGAAATTGAACTTTCGTAATTTTTGTTTACACGATCTCGACTCGATGTGATCGATCGTCGATAACGTTAATCTTTCTAATGACTTAGAGATGTCGCCACTTAACACATTGACGACAGTACGAGTTGTGTCTAGCCAGTCACTACGTGTTTTTCACAAAACACTTTTAATGAAACTTACCTCCCATTTCATATTACTTATATCAAATACATTAAAGTAAAAATACGTCAGATAATATGGTATTTTATTTAAGAATGTATTAACGTTCAAGATGGACAGATATAAGGAATAATATACAAGATATATAAATACATTGAATATCTGAATTCTTTTCATTAGTAAAGTATGTTTACATCTTTTATAAGGATATCTCTCTTAACCTAAGAATTAGAATAAGATTAATTATGATTAAAAGCTTTTCTAATGGACTAAATAACGAAAGGTAAATTAACAAGATATATTTTCCTGTTTTATATAAACCTTTATGCATATGGGTTCCTATATTTTCCAAAACTTTTATAAAATCACTACCAGAATGATATTTTGTTTTAGATATTTGGCGTATTATCACCGTGAACGTTTAACATTAAAAGTATACGTAATCCATTTATTGAGTCTATATGAATGAAGTAACATGTATCGCTAAGCGAAATGAGGTTGGTCTACAATGTGTTAAGAAAATGTAAGATCGGTCCGCTTTTCTGTTTCACGGAGAAGCGGCGAAAGAGATTCGAGATTGCTTATCAGCGAACACAATCGCAGCGTGCTAAAACGAAAGGATAGAGAAAGATGTACCAGGTTGTCTGCGGATTTATCACCTAACGCAATAACGTTGCTTTCGCTTGTAGACCTTGCAATTTAATATCGTTATATCGTTAAATCGTGCAACGACCAGACATTTTAATATTCGATTCGCATTGTTTTCAAGGCGGAAAGTAACTTTAAAACGATTCTCTGAAGAAGTTTTCTCATCATTCCTGCACAGTCTTATCTGTTTAAACAACGAAACAAATCATAACCTTAATTTGATAGGAATCTTAATAATATCTATGGTCGTGAAATAATCAAAGAGAATAATCAACGTAATGAAAATTATTCGTCGTTAATGTTGGGAGCTTTTCTGCCTAGACTTAGCATTTAATTTCAATTTATTACTAGATTCCAATATATAATTTCATTTTGATATAATAACTCACATTAAAGGATTTAATGATCTGGATCTTCAATAAACTATATACGTATAATTGGTTAGAGGTTTTCATTTGAATCTTACGAAAATATAAGAATTAATATTTCCTGTAAATGGTAAATTAACAGGATACAATGATGTAATAATAATGAAATAAAATAAAATTCCAAAAATATAGACATATGAGAAATATTCAGTTCAGATGGCGTTATACAGAGTTAACCTTATTTATTATATCTTGTCTTGCATCATCAAATTCCTCATTAATCATAAAATCAGATAAAATTACATAATTATTCGAGTGTATCGTTATTTATCCAGAAACGTATGTTTCCAAGAATATAAAGTAATGTTGTACTGCTGCCAAATGATCTGTATCGACTGGTAATGCTATCGCCACGGGTATTAATTATTTGAGAACAATAGACATGAAATGAGAATTAATTACTCTCAGTTTCCATAACGTAACATAGATTTCATTATTTCGCATTGTTATGTCGAAGTTAATAATTGAATATGCGTTGTACTATATTTTAACTTCGACACTTTTTTAATGGAACTGCCAAATGTAATAATGCAACGGCAAACATTACTTTTTGAATGGATATAGCGGTACAAAAGCGTGCATGAAATTATCATAAGCAAGTTGTAATTATGCGCTCCTGTATATTAACATGTAGACTTCTAAAATCGTAAATTTTCACGAACGGCCATGGATCGTGGTAGTCATTTAATGAATCCATAATAGGAAAATAACCAATAACAGATCATACTGTATAATTTACCACGTTCAGATTGAATAAGCAGTATTATTTTCCTTAAAATATAACCTCCATAAGAAGCAAGCGCTTGCAAAATCGTGTTCATCTAAAACTAATAAACATGGTAGAGTTATGTTAACTCTGTGTAACCAGAATGTTGTTTATCTATAACAGGAAAAAATTACAACTGATTATAAATTTCCATTTTGATCTAGAATCTAAAATATGATTTGATGCCAGTATAATGATATAAAAGTACAATGATAATGATGTAAAATAAAATGCAGAAAATTTTCAAAATTGAAAAATCAAAAATTTAAATATTTCTTAATGAACAAGAAATACTAATCTAATATTTAATTAAATGTTTTAAAAATTGTCAACATATATGACATTATATCCAGTGTGTTAAATTGTTTCGATGCTAGTATACTTTATCAATTCTACATTTCCAAAAATGCTGTTGACATAATTTTTGAGATACTATTATCTGATCTGATTTAAAAATGAAATTATATTCAAACCTGAAACAGACCAAATGTAGAATTAGTAGAAAATCTTTTTACAAAAAGATTTTTGTACTTACCACTTTATTTTCATGTTAATTGTCACCATTGAAGCAAATGTTTCCGGTCATGTACACGGCCATTCGTGCAATGAGATGTTGAAAACCTCTAAAAACAGATGTCGCGTTAGATTGCATGGCCGTGTTAAGAAATCGTAGGATAAGAGACTAACTAAGAGGAAGCAAAAGGGCAAATTATAGATATCCATGTCGTCTGTAGGGGAACATTAATTAAAATCTCAGCCAGGCGTGTAACTCGATGAATATTGGCTAATTAATTTGAAACCGCTTTCACAGTTGCACCTGTCGTCAAAGCACCTAATCAGCTTCTGGGAGCACCTTTAGGCACGGACGTGCAACTGAAGTGCTATATCGAGGCATTCCCAAATACAATTAATTACTGGGTAAAGAACCGACGGGGCGGCGAAGACGAGATGCTGATCGAGGGGTGAGTGATTATTTGTTCTTTTGATTTCACGCGCCGACTCGTTTCTTTGAGGTTAGGCGACACTCACCGTTCATTCAATTACACAGGCACAAGTATGAAGTGCGGGAAGAACGATCCGGCTACAAAGTTCTGATGTCGTTGTTAATCAAAGGATTTTGCGAACAGGACGTGGGCAGTTACAAATGTGTGTCGACGAATAGCCTTGGCAAAGCCGACGGTACTTTAAGGTTATACGGTAAGTTTTCTGATCCTGCAGAAAAAGTTTATTAATTACAAATTATAATAATAATAAACACTTTCTTCCCGTATGTGTTTGTATGTACTATAATTCTAAATGTAATTATTTAAATGATTAATTATGTTTCTTTTTTTTTTAAGTACTGCAGATGTTTATGGAAATATACATATATTTTTGTGGAACATTTGTAACGAAGCGAAAGCTGAATAGAAGTTTATTTCTTTCTTGGGTGCTGTAAATATATTACTTTATAAAATCTGATATTTGGTAAACCCTCGAATATATTTATTAAAAGTGAGGCCGTAGAGAAAAATATTGTACACGTTATTGAATAATTAACTTAATTAATGGATTCAGTATAATCATTAAATAACATCGGAAAAGTGTAATTAGTATAACTGGGAATGTCGGAGAAAGAATTATAATTATAGAAATGAAAAAGAATTCTGCAGAAAAGAAGAAAAAGTTTTGCAGGAAAATCACAGTTTCAAATCTGCGTTATGAATCATTGAAATTTTAAGAGGTTAAGTTTTTATAAATCAATAAAAGTTAAATGACGCTGTTGAAGTTATCTCTCCGTTACATCGTGCAATATCGAACTGTAAATATAAAGTATAGTTATAAATTAAGTTTGATCAAAGCTTATAAAAGCTAATATAAAAAAATAATATCAAAAATCCTTTGCAATTTAAATTATGATCATAGTGTTAAAATAATAAAAGTTCTTACATTTATTGCATGTCTCTATAACATTGTAAATGCATAAACATTCGCAGGTAACATATTCTTTTTAATGAACAAATTTTTCAAATAACTGGTCAAAATGATATATATAGAGATACACAGCATTATTATTAACCAACGTTTTTTAAACAAACATAACCTTTAATATTTTTCAATTATATTTGCCATATACGTTTTTATAATATTGTAATAATAATTGTAATAATATTGTGAGTTCACGAAATTTAAATCATTTTTTGTTACATTTTATACATTATATACATTGTACATATATACACTTACATGTTTATAAAATTAAATTTATACATATTAAATAATATTTTACTGCATAAATATTAAAAATATTCGCATATTTATGTATATGTATTGTCTATTTTCAGTTATTAAAATCAATTTCGATAGAACATCGCGTGCGAAAGATCACGTACCTATAATCGACGGTAAGTTTCTTTCATTTTTCTGATAATAGTATCGTAACAAAAGTGACGCGAAATAATGTTGGTTATGTTGTTCAGGTTTAGCCAAGGCAGCGCAAAGTAGCGGCGCTAGTAGCGATAGAGGATTGTTCGGAAGTTGGAAAAAGTTATGGCATTTCTTATCGATATGTCTATTCATATCAGTGCTACTCTGACCGCGGTGAAGAAGGCATCCGCTGTTGGTTACCGCTAAGCTGAGTGCCGAATGATAACTTTGTGCCAAAAGACAAGAAAAATGCAAAAATGTTGTGCGTGTGTGTGCGCGTATGCGTGAACGTATACAGAAAATCAAAGAGAATATTTGGTTCCGAAAAAGGAAAAAAAAAAAAAAAAAAAAAAAAAAAAAAAAAAAAAAAAAAAAAAAATGAAAAACTGAGAAAATACTAATAATTTGAATGCGCGTATGAGTGACAAGCAACAGCGAACCAAAGGAGAAATAAATCGGAGGCTCGCGTTCTCCACATCTTCCTATTTCCCTTTCCTACTTCCAAATGTCGAAAACATTTTTAGATCAATGGATGTTGTCAATGTATGCGCCCATTTAGATTTGCAAATCATTTTGTTAATTGTCGATTACAAATCGATGAATCAATGGAAAGACGCACCGCCAAAAATAACAAGACATGGAAACGCTGAAGCAGCTTGGCCCTTCCTAATAATGCTTAACAAAACGTTGATAATAATACTTCACAATCATCTTATCATTGGTATCAGCGTTGCGGATATTTAGACATCAGGAAATTCGATGTTTCGAAATAAAAATATGCGATCGAACGTTGTATATACATTGCTTAACAACTACATATACCCGTGTCCCATTTCCTTTCCTTTTATTTTCACGATGCTTACTGTGTACATAGCACAATCGAAATTAAATCGATTAGTATTATATATTTAAATACCTCAAACCATCAGAAGATAACTATTCTGCTCGTCTTCTTATAGTTTTTATTTTTAGACCTACACAATAATTTTTGGTGAAGAAAAGTTGCATATATGAAATAATTAATTCCTTTTACATAATTTCAACATTTTTTAAAATATATGAAGAAACATATGCACTTTCTTATATTCGATTCTTACTTTAGCAGGTACATACTTATCGACGTAGCAGCACTTGTACGTACATACTATTACTATGTTTTGTTCTCGACATTACCAATAGGAACTTAGGACTTGCAATATTCAAATTCTATTCTGAAATTCAAATTTTACGCTAAGAAATTTCTTATACTAACAAAGGAAAAAAAATATGATAAATGAAAATTTATAATTTTTTCGATATTGATGTTAGATTTTTAAATTCATACAAATTAACCAGCAGTTGGTATGTTCACAACAGAGTAATAACAAAATATAATTGCGTTCATTTTTACTACTTAAACAGAATTTATTACAAATTATACACATATTACATAGAAGTATAATTGAGAAAGTCACTATTAAATTACTAGACTTAATATCAATTTAGGTTTAATATAAACAAACTATTTCATGCAAATTATTAGTTCAAATTCCTTAGAATAAAATTTCTTAGGTAAAAGATAATATTTTGAAAACTAAACTAATTGTTTAAATTTGAACAATTTCAATTTGTTAAAGTTCTGCTGATGGATATTTTAATAACATAAACTGTAGTAATTATTTAGTAATTATTCGAACTATATATCTGGGAAGAGAATATTTTTGAATGACACAATAGATAACTTACTCTCTTACGATAACAGTTGCTACTTCGATTAACTAACGAATATTATTATAGTTTATTAAATTTCATTTGTACTCGAGATATTATTTATTATTAACATAAGATAGTAATCCACATACAAAGAAAACGAAAAATAAATATCTTTTGTAGTTAACTCCTTGTTTTACCATTTGAGTTCCAATGGCGTGTGTCATAATCAACAGAGTCGATCACGCCTCGAGTTACTTCATTCGAACGTGACGAAGAATAACACTTAATTGACAAGTTAAGACTTGTGAGATAGAAAAACATCGACGAAAATTAACAAGCCCAACTCGTGATGTTTACATTGGACTCTATTTACAAACTACAATTCTTGTTTGTGATACTCGCGTTTCACACACTCTCCTTACCACGAGTCTCACACGATATTGTAGGGTTTAAAATATGATAAAAGTGTAATGTTAGTTACCCAAAGAGACTTGTTGCACCATCTATCGCAATTTTCATGTATCTCTAGATAAATATGACGGAATCATTTCCTTATTTTACCACTTGTCGTTAGTTCACTTAACTTCGATTCAAATGGTGATTGTTTCAAAATTTAACATCAAAAGTTGTTATGTTCAGAAATGGGATCAGTTACATCATTACTGTTATCAAATGTATAATTTACTAAAGTAACAGATCACAAGCGTTATAAGTTATAACAATCCAACCTTTAAAATGCTAATAATTCTAAGTAGAGTGAAGATAAAAACAAAAGCGCAGGATATTTTTAAAAGTCAAAAAAAATGGAGAATTTTTCATTTGAAATACATAAAAAGCCATCTTATTTAATGTAAAAAATTCAGAAAAATTCTGAAATTTTCCTGTAAAAATTCATGTCCAGGTAAGTATTAATTAACTACAAAAATTTTTTAAAAACTATATATTTATTATTACTTTGTTGTACAATTTTGTAATTATAATATATATTTTTTTGCAGTATTTTTTTCTTTATGTCTTATTTCAGATTTATTGTTCACATTCTTATTAGAAGTCTCAAATTGACTTGAATATCAGTTAATTAATGTTCTTATTAAACTAATCATTCATACACAACATGTACCAAGATCACAAAATTTGTAGAATTTCATAACCATAACATGACTTATCAAAATACTTTTATAATATGGTTTATGAAAATCAATCAGTAATGTATGACAATAAAACAGAATAAATGACGTTTCATATATTTGTTATACATAGATGGTTATTCTCGAACTTGAGCATTAAATTTTAAATATGGACAATTCTTGCATAATCTATCAAATCTACTCAAATTTCTTCAAAAATTACGAAAATCTTGTTTATTTTAGTTATCACAAATAAATTTACTAGTCCGAATATGATACGACTTATCTAATAACAACGAACAATGGTATAACTTACATTCATGACACGATTTATTCCCTTACTACTAAAAAAACAACATGGCTGTTACAATTATTGTTAGAGCAGAGAATCAGTAGTTTTAGTCCATTAATCGTAACTCAGGTGTCGCTGACTGTTCCCATATGCTAACGTCAGGTCAATGATCTCAAATATGAAACACTAAAATGAAAATTATAAGTTATCCGTATTTCTAATTTTTGGAAATAATTTTCATATGTAAATTTACATGAAAATGAATTTAGTCTAGATTATTTTGATTAGTCACAGATATTATATATAGTGGTAAACTAATGATATTAAAAAAATTGAAATTTCAAGCACTTGATAAATAACCTACAGCATACCAGCAGTCTGTGAAACTTATAGAACTTGCTGCTCACATTCCTATAAGACCTTAACAAAGTTTCGCATTGCCATAGAACCTTAACAAAATTTCACATTCCTTTAGGATGTCAGTAAACAAGGAATTACATATTATTTAATATATATATATATATATACATATAAATACATACATACATACGTACTGTATTACTTCGTTCTTGTGTTTAAATATTAATGACAATATATGTGTGTGAAAGTTAGGAGGAACTGTTTCCATTAGAATATCTACTTGAGAATTTCCATTTTAAGGTATATTGTGTTAAATCTTGTAACAAAATTGTCTCAGCAATTTATCTCAACTACAACACTTTTTAATCATTCTGCCTACAGCTACGTAACCAAATATATTCAAACTATACAAATTCAAATTCCTCCCCAATTTTGAAAAATTAAAAAAATAAAAACTAAGTGGTTCTATGATATACATTTTGGTATACATTTTTAACGGAAATTCTGCGTAGAGTTATAAAATAAAATATTGAAGGAATAAATAAATTACGAAATAGTTTTGAAAATTGTTTATTTGTTATTTTTTCAAATCTAATAACTATTATTAAAATTTAATGACCTCCAAACCATAAAACTGAACGGACCGGTAACAGTAAAAAATCTGCCTTGAATACTTTTGTATGTTAACTAAATATAGTCCTTTCAAAATAACGTTTATAAATATTGATATCCACTTCAATCATCATGCACACTCAATTCAGAGATAGTGAAATAGATTAGAGCATTGAAAACGGTAAAATGTCTGGAGAAATGTATGTAGCTTTTCGATGTTAATAATAAAACAATTCAGTAATTTAAATAATTTTTTATATGTCATAGTTGATTAAACTTTAAAAAATATCATCTATTTAACAATTTTTTATTTGTTTTTTCAACTGCGTTTAAATTTTTAATTATAAAACTGTATCCGTAAGTTTTATGTAAAGAATGGCACAATGAAACAATTATGTTTAATTACTTTTTATCTTGTATATAAAGCTGTAAAAATATAATTTTAACATGCTACATATGTATATAAATACATATATTTTTTTGAGCATGATATTTTTACACTATCACTCAAACTTGTAAACATATTTATAATATAGTTTATTTATTTTTTATTTATTTATTAGAATTCAAAATATATATGTAAAAATAAAATTTTAAATATACATTATTTTCCTTTACGTAAAAGGACGTATATTACGTTATAGTAAATTGAAACCTATGGTCAACTGTGCGTGGGTCTTGTTTACAGTGGTGGGTGTGGGAATTTTTATTCAATTGACGATATTCTTAAATTGACAAAAAATTTTTAAATAGCGGTATGCATATTTAGTTATATTATTTTTTGTTAGTATTATTAAAAAGTATTAAAAACTTCTAAAGGAATAAAAATATAAAATATTTGAGACTTTAACCTATAATAGTACAGAATGCATTAAAACTTAATTTTAAAATACTATGTTATGAATAAGGAATCCATAATACTAAAATAAAAAATTGTAATTATATTTATTTTTTTAATATTAAACATTATTATCATTATTAGTATTATGTATAATTTATATTTTCCATATAATAGCATGACAAAACATTCTGAAATTACCAATGGAGAATCTGAATAAATTACAATCAGAATGGAAAAGACCAGACGAAGTAATGCAGTTACATCGTTTAAAAGTAAAAAAACGTGCATTACAAGCACGTATAAGGAACACATACGTTAATAGAAAAGCATTACCATTAGATCCTACACAAAAATCTGATAAATATAATATTGATTCCAATGAGTGTATAGGACAGAAGAGAAAAAATCCTTTTATTAAAGATGATGCAGCTAAAAAATCAAATATATCACCAGATTTAGAAACTAGTAATGATAATACATTATTTGAACTATTAAAAATTAAAGCTCCACAAGTAAATGAAACAGAGAATTCAATGCATGATTGTTCTTTAACATTTAGCAATGCATTTTCAAAATTGGAAACAAGTAAGAACATTCAGGATTCAGAAGCATCAAAAGGTGAAAAATATATTCCATTAGATTGGACTTTAAAGACTAAAATGAGATTTATGTCTCCTAAACCATTTCCTTGGAATTGCAAATTAAAAACTAGTGAAGAAGCATCAGGTACTACTGGTTTTGTAAGATGTTTGGATATTAGTGAACAAGATTCAACTTTAGATACTAGTCCAAATGCAAGGTAATTCTTGTAATATGGTGTGTATTTTAAATTATTGAAAATATCTTAGTTGAAATATTTGTTAAATAGATTCCATAGATGTTGCTTAATATGGCAGCACCCATCATTACCATGGCTAGAATTATTTCCTCGCTCTGCTGGCAAAGTGAGTGCAAATTTAACAAGTAATTCAATGATAATAAATAACATGTTTATTAAGGAAGCTTTGTTCAAAGAATGGAGTGAAAGCTTTAGGTCACTTTTTCATTTATTAAGAGCACAACAGTGTCCATATTTTTATGTTTGTGCAAACAATTTCACTGCCTTATTTCGTGCTGCTGGAATTTGTGGAATTTCTGAAGCTCATGCACTTTTGACACCAACAACACGTGGTTTTCGGCAGTTTTTAAAACAAGAAGGTATAAAAACAGCTTGTAATTTATGGTAAAAGCATATTATTTTACCATTTTTTATAGAAATTGATTACACAATGCCTTTGAGAAAATATTCTAAAAGGCGATCAGATATAACTGATTCAGAATGTGATACTGTGGATTCAACTATATCAAATACTACATTATTGAGTTGTATGGAGAATCAAAATCTTGACGATGAGGAAGATGAAACACAAGATGAATGGTTACAAAGTTTAGGAGTTGAACATTCTGAAATTCGCAAAATTAATAGTTCTCAGGTAACTCTAAAGTATGCATAATTTTAATATGATATGTTATTTATAAAATAACTTTGCTGTAGGCAAGGATGACTTTAGAAAAAGAAACTGCAATAGACAATATGAAACAATCACTTATTTTCGTAAAAGGTGTTGAGGCACAAGCTTTATTTAATTTCCTAATTAATTGTAAATCTGCCATTACAACAACTGGTCCCTTAGCAGGAGTGCCTCCAACTCTTTTGTCACCTGTGGCTTTTCATGGTGCATCATTAAAGCCAATTAAGGTGTTATATTTTTATATCTATATATGTAGCATCTAATATAAATTATAAATTATTTTCATTTATTAAAGGTAAAAGAAAGTGTAGTTCGTGTTGACAATGAAAGTTATTTTTCTTTGGAATTAAAAGGACCTCTTTTACCACATGTGTTACCTTCTCTTTGTTTTTTAATGAAATCTAGTCAATTGGAACAATATTCTGCTAGTTGTGCACAGTTAAATTCAACAACTTCATTTTCAGAAGTAAAAAATGACTTTGGTAAATACTTTTCTTTATATAAAGTTATTTGTGTTATTTGTATAAAGATTCTATGAAGAATTTATAATGTTTGTATTTTCACAGAGCAAAAGGAGACAGGAAATATACCAATAACTCCAGGAAATATCTTTGGCAAAGAAAATTTGAGTGATTGTGGATTTAGCAGCGAATTATTAAAATATTTTTGTAGTCCTGATTCAACAAATATCCAAGTTATAGAAAATATTAAATTTTCAAATAATTTGTATACGTGGTTTTGACAAATAATTTTTTGTTAGACACAAAGCTTTATTTAACTATGGTTAAAAATTAACTTAAGGGAGGTAATTTTTATAAATGAAGTCAAATACTATAATTAGATATAATTTGTTTCAAAATTAGTTATCAATCGACAATATTAATTCAAATTAAAGAAAGTGACTGAATTTATTTCAGTATTTAAAATTAACAATAATTGTATTATAGTTTTTAACTAATTAACGAAAATTTGGAAATAGAATAAAAGTATTAATCTCTATTATAATTATCGTAATTGTAATTATTGTAGTAATAAATATTGTTGTCGATACTTACATACTAACTAAAATAATAGTGAAGTGTATAATAGATTATTTAAAAAAATTATGATAAGATCAAGTATATAATTAATCAGGTGCAAGAAAATATTATTAATTAAAAAAAATGAATCATTTTGCTGAGCAATAAGTATTTGACAATGAATGTTAACGTTACATTCAATTTGCATTTTATTATTGTAGAAGATACTTATATTTATTTCGTATAGTTGTCTCAATCTAGTTATATTTTTAAACTAATCACAATGAATGATAAATTAAAATAACTTGAATCATTTCTATAAATATAAGAGTATTTTTTGTCAATAAAAATGTTTTGTAATATTTACAACTGTATTAAATTGACAACGAACTATTATAATAATAAAACTTGAACAATAATATACTCGTTATATTTTATTAGATTTTCTTCACTTTTCTTGTATTTTATTTAACTTTTCCATAAAAAAAGTTAAACCTATCGATGTATGCATAACAATAATTCATTAGAGAAAAATTTTCGAACGGGGGCGCGACGAAGGTGGGGTTCGCGGATGGACTACCCCTAAAAATAACGAATCGATATTCGCTCGCTGCCCCCGAATTGGTCGCCCGGTCACCTCGAGCGTGAACAATCAATTTATTGTAATAAGGTATTGTTTTACTTATTTTTCTTCAGAAAACGTTTAGTTTAATGGAGACAGAAATATTTGTCCAACTAGTTAGATATATAAAACTCAATAAAACTTAAATTAATGTGCACAAAGCTTTGAATATGCCATTTGATAATCCATTTACAGCACTTAAAATTTTATTTTGGCAATAAGAATTTAAGAAATTTGTTTCTTTCATGTATGAATCGATACCCGATTTATTACACCTCAGGTGTACATGTGTATTTACATTGAACACGAACGTATCCATAAATGTACCCATGTGATGATTACGTCAGTGCCCATTGCAGTCTATGCTCATCGTATTGCGATTCTCCTCAACGAGCAGTTTCATGTTCCAAGGTCTTTTATGCGAGTTCACTTTTCGAATCGAACAATGCACCGGTAATATTGCCCCCAAGGGCTTTGCTGAAGGCGATACACGTATACCAGAAATTTTCTTCCATTTGAAAATTGCTTTTTTCTCAGTTCAAAGACAAATTTCATTCTCATGATACTCTCGTAATCGTTATCATACGAGACATCTAAAAGAGGATTAGGTGGGTGCATAAGTGAAAATAAATGCGACAAGATACTCGGTTCGACACCGATTGAAATAAACAATTTCAAACGTCAACCTTAACCTTACTTCACTTACCAAAGGAGATTATTTACATTTATAATCGTGAGATATTAAAAAATTGCATAATCCGTTAAGGATATAACAGTGGAGTATAAAGGATAGGCGATATGGGATAAAATTTTTCTCGAGAGTAAAACAACCTCGAATCTGAAATACGAAAAAAGCATGGTTAGGGCGGTGTAGAGAGGCAGAGGGGAAAGTCCCTTCTCGCGTACGTCCGATCAGGCTGCCGAGAAGCAACCCTCGTATATAGGAGGGTTCAGGGTGGATAAAGCTGCTGGATACGTAGGGGGTAAGGGATTCGCGTGAAGGGAGGGGGCCAGCGGTGAAGAGCGGGGGGAGGAAGATCTACAGCTGTGTTGGTGTTGCGTGTGCTTTACACGGAACCGGCGAAGCTAGGAGTACGGCGAAAGAGAAACAAACGCTTCGACCTAACACGTTGCGCGGAACAAGGATAGAAAATCGGTTGGAGAGAGAAGCTCGTTGAGAAACACAGAGAGACATATACGATAAAAGTGCGCGTAGAAACGAGACGGAAATGAAAGGTGCGTGGGAGTAAGGGAGTAAGCGTGCGAGAGAGAACGATGCAGACAGGATCGCGGTATGCGAGAAGAAGAGAGAGGTCTCTCTCCCCATGATGTACGTATACATCCTGGTCCCTTATTCCCTGTACGTGCAAAGGGGGTTTCGAGAGGCTAGCAACGGTGGAGCCACGACAACGAGCTACAACCACGACGGCGAACACGACTACTACGACACCGCGTGGGGGTTGCACGAAGACCCCCTGGTGGGGTTCTGGCTGGCGACCCCACAGTCCCCCGCTGGAAATGATATCAGTCGCGACTCGGTCGAGGGAGCCCCAGCACGTGCCGTGCCCCTCGCAGAGTGAGCCCACTAGCTTGCTCGATTCTTCACTTGGTGTACGTTCTTCGCGTACGTTTTCTTTCGCGGTACGTGTTTTTGCTCGAAACTGGTTATTTCGGAGAACACGAAAGGGTGTATGGTGGTTGTGGAAAAGGAAAAAGTGAAAACTTGCCACGGTGTATTTTAACCTACCCCTTCTTGGATCGTATTCGCCGATTGATCTCGCTGCTGATATTTTAATCCGACGAGACCTTTCGTAACCTTTATCGTCTTGTACAATCAAAGGTGAGTGAATCCCAAGAAAATGGCTTTCGGTTAGGGTGCACCCGTCCTCGTGAAACAACCTTTATGCTTGCCCCTCGCACACTATTATCCCGTTTCTAATTTAAGGCTCGTCTAGCTAATCCCTAAGCACAGTGTCTGCTTCAGCATTGATCTTAATTATCAAATCGATGGGACAAATTTTGCAAGGGTGAGATGACATTGCGAAACTGTCGATTAGGTATTTGCGCTGACTCCGATCGAGCTTAAGACCACGTACGACATCTGTGGGCTGCTCCATTAGAATTGCAACAGTTTGTACCTTTTCCTCTTTCTGTTTACAATAACCCGTCGTACATCGGAACGGTGTGATGATTCTATTAACTTGTTCCTAATAGCTTCATGAAGCGAATGGTTGTAGCTGATCACATAATTGACTGCGAATGCACTTGTACGACATCTACGATATGTCCTGTTAAAACTGCAACTCCTTTCCTTCATTCCTTGTCTCGTGTCGTATTCGCGTCGATACCGCGGTTCGCACATTTTCGTTCCCAGTTTTGTCTTCACATGACACGCTCCTTTGTCACAAAATAATCTCAATGTTATCAAACTTGCAACTCTATTAACCTCTCACACTGATTCAACCCATTATAACAGTGATTTCTCGATGTTTGCATTCATATAAGCTTTAATATCTATGCTTTTAACACGTTTGAATTACCTTGATTCTTTTTGGCCATCCTACTCGTCGATATGTTATCTTCTGTCGGTTACTATTCGCGTACAGAGTCGAAAATTATTATAGTTCGATTTGCTCATTCTCGAAAGCAGATTTTTTAAAAAAAGGACAGTCTCGTCGTACTGATGCCTCTATATCGGTGCACACGTTCTCGAGACGCGACAACAAGGCGCGGGTATTAATAGAGCCGACGTTGGGACGGGGCACACGGTTTAAACCGACTCTTTGCTCTCTTGATCTTCAGCGTTCTAGAGCGCTCTAACCAGCCACGGGAGATCTTGTGCATTCTTGGATACCTTAGTCACGCAAATCAGTGACCTCGATACGTAATTTGAAATAAATCATAATGAACGAGTATTATCGAAATGCACGATTCTCCGAATTTTACATAACCTAATATCTGTAATCTCTTAAATCGATGAAATAAACCATTCACGATACGTTTTTGAAAGTATAGGTTAGGTTGATATACGTACATCCTACAGTTAGTTAATCGGGTATCAATTATTGTATTGGTATGTTAAAATGACGATTAAAATGTATTTATTTCTTTATATAAACAAAGAATATCTTATGGAGTTAAAATTTAAACGCTCTGTACACGTAAAAACTTCCTTGTTGGAGGAAAACACCATATGATACGTGACATGTATCGAGAAGGGAAAATTGTCTAATATATTCTTAACGATAGACGTTTTCAATTAAAATATTTTATGTATCTTAATGTACTGGTCAGCTGAGAAATTGTAACACGAAAAGAATTCAATGCCAGCGAAAATTTCTGCTCTGTTCGCGTTGTTATTTTGGTAGTCTGTTGAGTGGATAGTTTTGATATGTTTATTATACTTGTATGACGATACAGATGGTACGTCGAATATAGTCACGGCTATTTGAACGTGAATGAAACTTTCCTCCAGATACATAGTAATTCCTTCCGTTAATAATTTTATCCGATTATGTTACCAAATAATTTGCACGTACACAACGCAACAGTAGCTCGAGAGATTATTTTTATAAACATTATTTGCAAATAAATAATAGACGTAGCAAGAAATTTGCTTGAATTCAACTGCATATAATTTTAAGCAGGAAACACGAGTTTTTATACGTCTAATATTGTCTGGATAACTTTATCTTCACAATGTATACCTATAACAATGATTACACAGACCTGATATCAATCGTTTCTTTATCATACTCTTATGGCATCGAATTATTAACACTGGCCTCTTTGAAATAAAACTCTTAAAATTAATTTTACATTACACAAACGACACGCTTATTAATATTGTATATAGCTATGCAATTCTCTAGTACACATCTCTTGATAAATGAACAGTATTGTAAAATTATAATTACAGGAAAAAAGGAAAAATATACAAGTCATGGATATTTATCAAAATAAACAAGCGAATATACATATAAAAAGCGCAGTTTGAATTTCGTTATCGAGTCATTTCTGTTTTTCGTTGCATACACCTGTTCGCTACGTAATCGATGCATATTAGTGTGCGTGTTTTTCGATCATAATTCTATATTAACATTCATCTTGGCGAGTGTTTGTCTTCTTTTGCTCTTCCGTATCGAGTCTTTACCTTATTTAGGTATATTACGTGGCTTGGTTATGTATCATAAATCATTAGGATGTCGTAGGTTTGACGTCATTTTATCCGATGATATGTAAATATTATTTTCACTCGTAGTACATTTTGTATGGCATTAAGTACTGTATACGTGCAAATGGAGAAAATGTAACGGAGGAAAATCTTATCTCATCAGTATCTTGAATAATACACGGTGCAGCAAAAACTTGATTTCTAAAGGTAAAGCAGTGTGTATCTTCTCGCGTGGTTGCCCATTGAATTTCCTCGACGTTATCTAAAAATAACCAATTTGTATAATATTGTTAGTATACTAATGACGAGAAAAAATTATATTTTTAACGAATCGTTAAAAATACTTTATGTTTATTATTATATTTATAAATATTTTATTATCTTGTGAAATACATTAAAGTATTTTTATATTAATTCTTCTGGTATAACGTTAAATAATGCTTATTTTTCCATCCATTATGATGCTCCATTATGAGCTCCATTATGAGTATCTCTGAAAAAAAACAATTATTTATTGAATTAGCTTTTGTAATTATTAATAAATTTTCAGCACAATATAACATATTTATTAAGAAAATACAAAAATCTGATATAAATATAATATTTTTTGCACAGACAAGTTTCCTGTGAATTATTTGGATTATTTTATATCTTGAATTAATTATCAATAATTATTATATAATAATGCATTTATTAAAGTTTCCAATGCTCATATCAAATAAGCATGATAAAAAGTTTCTAACTAATTTTAAATAGTTCTTGTTTACTAAAGTATCTCAGTTTAATTATATCCTTTGTGTTAATTATACAAATGGCCTAAACAATATGTCTTTATTTATCTTCTATATGAAATAATATGAAATTAATATGGACAACTCCATAATAAATTAATTTTTATTGCAGATCATCTATTTTCAATCATTTATATCAATTTTGTGATGTTCATTTATATTTCTCCAGTTATTCTTAAATTGGATTTTCGTAAAAAATTTTGAAATAAAATAAATAAAGTATAAATAAAATTATTATACCGGTATTTTTTCACACTGATTAGTAAGACAGTATGAGATACAGAATATCTTCATACTGATATTAAAGAGTTACGTCGGATGGAGTTAAAATCAATAAAATTGATTTAGAATTGAATGCTTATTGTTAAATAAAACATGTAGTTTTTTATCTTTAATCGAAGAATAAATAATCGGCGAATAAAATAATCTTCGTTCCACATAAACAATAACAAGCATAAAGTTCAATCTGAAAAGAAATAAATCAGATTTTCAAAATCTGAATATGTCTAAAAAATCTAAAAATGAAAATATTAAAATCTTACCATCAACCCACAAATTCTATATTTATTATATTTAGAAATTGGTAACGAGTATAAGTATTCGAAAATTTGAACGTATCAAATGTTCAATTGAATTTGACTAGAAAATTTTAATTGTTCCAATTACTTCATGAATAGGAAGTTAGAAATGTGTTGGTAAACCCGTATGGTTAGTTAACACGTTCAGAATCCTCCACGTGGCCAGAACGAGGCGTGTGCTTTTTTTCGTCGAGAGGCATTTAAACATTTTTCCATCGTCGCAAGGAACGATGACCCGCGCGAAGGCGGCTGTCTTGGTTGTGCAGGGGGCCGTTCTCTCCCGATGCTCGTCGATTTTCGTGGTCCCCGTGTCTGTTGTGACGTAGCTACTTCGAAACGAGAGAGAAAAAGGGTGCGTTCGGGCAACACACGAGCCTAGCCCTTGCAAATGCGTGACGGGGTCCACCAACGAAATTATGGATCGGGCCTGGCTACCGCGTCTGCGCATGATCACCGCTAGATCGCTCTGCCCTTCTTCAGCCCACTTTCTACTACCTTCTCATGTATGAACACCTATCTGTGCATCCTGCCTGTGGATACGTATTCCACTAGCTCTGGCTCGCTTTCTTCCCCTAACTTCACTCTGTCACATGCAATATAACAACATTAGATTTGATCTTTGTGATCCTACTCGACTCGTGTAATGTATTCAGCTAATATGCTTGACATTAACCTACCTTGTGGTTCATGCTCGAATAATCGTGTATGTCTGTGTGTGTGTGTCGATTTCCCGTTTAATAATTCCATCATTTTGTTATCCTGTTTAGTCGATAGAAATACGAAACTATTTCAATTTACCGCTTATGATTTTCCTCGTTTCCTCTGACTTAACCTATATTTGCGAGATTTTACGTAATTCTTGATTGACTTCTGTTGTTGCGTTATTAAATGTTTCTGTGTTTCAAGTATTTTTGTATCTTATAATAATAAATTAAAACCTTTATCGAGCACAGTTCTGTTGAATTTGTTGTTTTGTTGTGTTTATTTCCCTAATGAAATTTTTATTTTTATTTTTGCTTTACTGACTTTGTATTTTCGATGATCGATCTGTTATTTTTGTGCTCAGTTCGTATGTACCTTTTTACATACATATGTCAAAATACATGCGTGTAAAGCGATTGGACAGTATCAGTTAATATATGATTACTTCACTGGTTTAAAAGAATTTCTTATTCTCAGATCTGGATTAATATGAGAAAAGAATAGATTAAAATAAACCTTTTCAGTTTCATTGCATAAAAACGAACTTTTATTTATCCACTTTTATTGAATTTATTTTTTAAGTAATTATTTTCTAATAATAGAGATATTTAGATATCAAGGTTAGTATTAACTTTGGTTTATCGTTTCATGTAATAATAATATGTATTCGAAATAAATTCTCTTTTTTTTATAATTTATGAGGTCATGTAATAGAATTATTAAAAATATAGAAATTGTTTAAATATTTTGTAAACGTCAGTATTGTGTTAATAATTTATCTTTATAATTATTTTTTTATGTTAATATATATTCAAAATAAATTTTCATTTTTTATAATGTATGAAACCATGTAATAGAATTATTAAAAATATAGAAATTGTTTAAATATTTTGTATACATCATTATTATGTTAATAATTTATCTTTGTAATTATTTCTTTTTATACTAGTTTTTATGCAATGCATATGTAAATTGAGCAAAGTAAATTACTAAATTAAATAAAATAATAAATTTAATACGTAAATATTTTCTTTACTCACTGTATGTCTATATAATATTTAATACATGTGTATACGGCTCTACGTTAACGTTACATAACCGGAATTAAAATTAAATTCATGTTTTCTAATGCATGAAATAAATACATATGCACGATGCGTGCCAACGTAGAGATTATAGAATTTTAAAATCATTCTTGTCACGATGCAACAACAATAAGTTAAAGAAAATAATTAAATTTTATTTCAAAATTACGTGAGTCGATTAGGTATACCTGAAACAATTAATTATTTTGTATAATGATGTGGCTTATTGCTTCATAAAACCTATTAAAGTGGTCGTGACGTGTCATCTTCCATTTGTTTTATCTGACTAGCAAAAGATTCGAATATTGTTCCAGACGAACCATAATACCAAATTATTCTCGACGTTAATCATCGTAGGTGGACTTCCGATTTCGTGAATGCGTAAACTGCATGATCATTGGATGTTTAACACCAACACTGAGTTGTGACACGTGTACAGTTTCGAGATGCTAATTATACATAAATATCTTGATGCAGATGATCTAAATAATTACGCGAACCGTATTAATTAAATTAATATTTCAATAGCACTGTGTGTTTCAATTATAATTAATTATTACAAACACATCAAAATACCTTCCGTGTCAATAGTTAACTGGATCGCCACATAATTTCTTTCCATTCATTCTTCCAGGATATTTATTTTAATATAAATCATTAATACGTGTCTAAATTACTATATAGACAGAACTATTCGAATAGCAACATCTTTCGATAAAAAGCAGTCGTTTTTCCTTGTAATAATTATTTCATATTTTAAAAAGACGATAACACTGGCAGCAGTGAAGGTTATGATAATAAGTAAAGGATTGTATCCTTTTTGCTATTAAATCACATTGATCTTTTGATGTCTAACCACTATACCGCCATCTGTGTGGAAAATAATGTACTAATGTACCTATAGCTTTAATTCTCGTTTCATATGCTTACTATTGTATTGCTGCACTGCATTACCATCCATATATGGCACTGTTGTATTCCTACCAAATAATCTGGTTAGAATAATTATTAATGTTCAACGTTTCAGATTAGATATGATAAATAATTATAATTGCATCCTTCACAAGTAAATAAAATTCCTGTTATAGAGAGTTAAATTATGTTTACAACGCTCTGTTTCATATACACTACTTCGAACTATGTAAATATACTTTTCCTGACACTATAAATACTTCGAAGTGAAAATATTTTCAATGTTGCATACTTTTAGGGTTTCTAGGACACTTTTATCACATTCAACTTCTAGTTATCTCTATTTCATTTCCACGATTAGTGTCATGAGTTTTCTCTTTAACGTTGTTACATACAAGGTGTCCACGTGTTTAATGCCAACTTCACACTAAAGTAAGGAAGATAATATACAATTTGGATTATAGAACGTTTGAATAGTGGGATATTTGAATAGTACACCGTTCGAATAGTGAAATATTTGCTTGGTAGAATGTTGAGGTTATAAATAATGGGAGATTATAAATGTATAACTTTACAAGATATATATGGTAAGTGTGTAAATTAATTCGATGTCTTCAGATTTTCCTATTACTAACTATTATCTTAAATTTAAATAATCTTATGTTAGTATGTAGTTTTAAATGGATGCCAACTGTGTTTATGTAATTTCACATAACTTACTAGTTGCGTAATGTTTTATATTACACAATTTAGAAATAAAATTTGAATTTTTAGTTAGGTTAGGTAATTAAATTACATCAATTTAATTCGTATAGGATTAATTGAATTTGATTTAAATTATTTTATAAAATAATTTTCTGTAAACAAAATAAATTCTTGTTCTGGTTTATTGTTAGCAATAAAAATGAAAATGGTATTCTGTTTTTTTGAGATATAGTTGAATGTAGGATAATGTAGGTATGGTTTAATGTCACAAGATCATTGGGTTAAAATGGATATTGAATTGAAACTTTGGACGACGTATCGACATATTGAAACGATACAAAAGATTACGGGTCCTTTGAAATGATGTATTCATTACCAGCATCCCGTCACTTCTATAGAAAATATATTTATTCGAACAATCGTTTCTCGTCGAAAATTGAAGAATATTCTACGTAACGCTGTCTAATTATTGATCACTGATAATTTTAGTTGATTGTATAAAGTATTATATTTGATTATCGTATCTAGATATATAGGTATTATTTTAGGTATTAATTATCCTTAATTTATTTATTATTTTTTAATTTATATCAATTTATGAATTAATCTTAATTTGTTAATTTATTAATTCATAAATTATTATTGACTTATTTATTCATTTATTAATTTATGCTGTACATATATATCTTATATAGAATTATGATAATAAAATGTTATATTATAATATAAGCTATAATATAATAACATAAAATATAAGAAATATAGTAATATGAATAATACACATACTTTTTACACATACAAACGATTATAAAAATCGTAATTCAATACAGGAAAAATGAGATTTGTCGATTTTAAAAATGGTCAAAATATTAATAAATAGATGGGAGAATTTAATTACTTACTACTGGCTTTAATCATATAAATTATTATGACTAATATAATCGCGATAACACTTGTATATAGTGATTAAAAAATATATAAGAGAATCTTAATATTTTATTTATTTTTAATTTTAGAATTTTTAAATATATAACTATATGTAAAATATCAATATCAAAAATAGGAAATATCATAAGTTTATTTAGACGATCTCTAAATTAATTTATAGAAAAAAGGAATGACATGTTATATTAGCAGGTATATTATAATACATGTATATCTTTCAGAAATAAATTTTAATTCTATCCAACTCTATGTGAAAAGTAGAATAATTAATTTGGAACTCATTTTAAACAATTGCTTATTTAGAACACATTATTCACAATTTATAAATCTTTATTAAAACCTCTTAAACATTTTACATAATTTTAATGATTACATTGTTTCATTCAAATGGCTGTTAATTAATACCAAGAAATTTCTATATTAATCAAGATGAATTTCCTACAAAATTAAAATTAAAATTTTATATGTAGGTATTACTATATATGTCTTACTATTGTATGTATTATTATAATCCTTTGTATTTTGTATACAAGAAACAGACGCTTCCCTTCGAGATTAGGAGATTAGGGCACCCGTTAATTTTATCCATCACGTGATAATTAACTAAAAATATTAAACAAAAAATTGGTCGATCTGAATTTTTCTCTTTATACAAAATTGCGATCCATTAAAAAATTTGTGGAAATTATTTGCAAGAATTGTAGAAATATAACAAACTAATTATAAGATGTAAATTATTATATAAATTAATTATGTTGTTTATTAATTATATTAATAGTAATCATTATATCAATAATTATATTAATAAAATATTAATTATTAATCATTATTAATTATTATAATTATAAATTCGTATTTACAATGTCTTGATCTATGTGCTATTATAAATATTTGATCTAAATTGGATGAAATTTTTACTGAACATAGTATTTGAATAAATTATTCAGAAGGAGATTACTAGATACATATGTTACTTAGGTAAAATTTCATTGGAAATTTTATGATACTTAATATACGAATTTGTCTTGTGCAATTTATGTCATATAATACATAATTACTGTAGAAATTAATTTACTAATTTATATAAATAATATATCATTAATAATTAATAATTAGAGTACTGAATATTGATTTTTTTGAATATTAAATAATTTAACAGAATCAACATTTATGAAAAATGGGAGAATCAAATTTTGAAAAGTAATACTTACTTAATTCTCTATAATTACAATTTTGTTTCTACTTATGACAGAAAAAAGTTATAATTCATACAACTTTTTACTTTAATCTGTAATTAAAAAATTCTCAATCTAATAAATAAAATAAAGCAAATTAAGTGATTACTAAAATTAATAATATTAGATACAAAATTAAATAAACAAAAGGAATATTTGATCCAATAGGAATAGTAAAAATAATAGTATACTAATTGCATACAAAATGAACAAAGTAACATATAATTTGAGCAATTCATAGTAATAATATATATACAAGAAATGCACAATGAATATGTACAATAAATATACATCATAAAACATATATATATAGTCAGAATAGTCACATGTCATTATAGAGAATTATTAAATTAATGTGTAAATGTTATATGTTTAATAGAGAACACTGGACACGTTACAATAATGGGTGAAAAAACATTTAACCTCACCTGGAATAATCACCTAGCAAACTTGTCTGGATTGTTTGAAGGATTATATAAGAGTGGTTCCTTGACTGATACTACGTTAGCTTGTCAAGGTGGCATGCTGAGGGCGCACAGATTAGTCTTGGCAGCATGTAGTCCTTACTTTGAAAGAGTCTTCAAAGAACACTATGGTGAACAGCCAATTCTTATTTTAAAAGGTAAGTTGACAATAGCAAATTATTGTTCAAATAGTTCGTGCCAATTTTTAAATAAATAATATTTAAATTATATTATTATTCTATATTGGTTCCTTCTTTTCTATTACATGTTCCATCTTCAAAATAATTTGAAAATTGTATTTGTTAATAATAAACTCGCGAAAATAATTTTTATATTTGTTAAAAATTTAAAATGAATTCGAGAAAATTATTCCTTTGAAATATCATAATTTTTAGAAAATTTGTACGAAGATATAATAAAATATTAATTATTAGAAATTAATTACAATGGAATTCTTTTTTAATTAAAAAATTAAAAATTAAAACGAACTTTCTAAACTTAATACACGTGAAACTTTGGTTTCCTTAAATATTATTAATATTGATTGATCATTTTATATACTTTTATACAGCTTAGTAGTTTAGTTACAAAAAGAGAAATTTAATGAAAAAATACAATATGATTTTTATACATTTTTATCATATTTTTTATCATAAAATGTTTAACCATATGAATTTTTGAAACTATAATTATACATTATAAACTTCCATTATTTCATTTCTTTCACACTGTTAGTACACAGAAAAATATTTAACGAATAATTTGGCTAAAATAGAGAATGAAATTTAGATTATATGAATAAAATGAAATAAAAACGATTTTTATATATAAGTATCGTAACAAATATAAAATTAAACTATATGTTCATACATAAAGAAGTATGTTGAAAATATCTAAATTTAAACAGTTTTTCTAATAAAAAGTTTTTCTATATAAAGTTTCAACTGCTATATGTACCATGCATAGTGGCTTTATTTTAACCATCTGAAGAGGCAAACAAGTTGATATTTAACAAGCAAGATATATCCATAGCTAACAAAAAGCAATAGAGTAACAACAAAAATAAAATTTCACAAAATCCTACAAAAATTTAATTTCTTCTTCGATTTCAATTTGGAAAAGAACAAAACCATTCTCTAAAACCATGTATTTGTGTATTTAGATATTTAACATTAGGACTACCAGACCAACCAAAGTAACTGGTTTCAGACATTCTACTTTCGCAATTACCGAAACCATGCAGCTATTTTTGAAAATTAAAATTGACCTTCATTTAGGCAAAAATCTAATTATATACACCATCGTTTAGTATAACACAGTGAAATAAAATTATTATTATTATTATTATTATATTAATAAAATTATATTAAATAAAATTATAACCCAGTAATTATTCTGCTGTAACATATCGTATAACATAATTATTACCATACAATTTGTTATAATATAACTATCCTATAATTTAGTGTAATAACAACTATATTATAGTACAGTAGAATACCATTAGTAATAATAGTATATTATATTATATTATAATTATATTATATTATAATATACTATTATTACTATATTTATTATAATATAACAAAATATACTATGCATGGTATATTTAGCTGCACATGAAATCAATAGCCTGAATCGAAACAATATTGAAATACGTATCACATACGGTTTTCTCTTACACTTAATCTACTTCAAACCTTAGGTGTCGCGGTCGAAGAAATGGAATGTCTCCTCGACTTCATGTATCGAGGTTCGATCGACGTCGCCGAGGAACACTTGCCATCTCTGATTAAAACTGCGACAGATCTAGAGATTCGTGGTCTTTCCGGCGACCAGAGGAATCAAGACAACAATCGTAGCCCCTACACTAGGGTAGAGACACGAATGCAACGATGTCACATAGAAGCCAGAGTTCACACGACGGAGTACATGAAGGAACCGTCCGCGATTCCATTCTTACCAAAACAGTCTTCCGTAGAGTCATTAGAGGATCATATAAAAGTGGAGGAGATCGAGGTGGAAGATGACCCCATGGTGATCGATGGCCATGAGGACGCGTTCGATGAGCCCTTGCGATCGCCGGAAACGCAAATCGTAAGCTGAAATCGAGAAATATAAATGAAGATAGCCTAAATAGAAAAAGTTTGGAGCAATTGTGAAAGAAGAATGGCAAAAACTTATCACTTTTGTAAATTACGTTTACAAAATAACTAATTCTTCGTTTGAAATAATTACGTAACCAAGACCAAGTTGCTTCCATTGGTTATTAAGAGCTGAAAATTCACTGTGTGAGAAAAATTTAATATTTTCAGAGAAAAATAAAAAGAAGGAAATTTTTAATTGAGATACCTTATCTTTGTACGATTTAACAGTACACTCCAGCGTCTTCTAATTAAGATTAAAATGAAGAAAGAATGAGACTTCAGTTCATCTCCTTAGGTCATTAAAAACAGCGAGTTGCGTTTTAAAAAGTTCCTGGCTAGCTATACAGAATCGAAAAGTGCAGTTAAATTAAAAAAAGTTTACTTGATAAATTCATTTCGCTGAATTAATGGAGTTCTTGTATTAATTTCAGAACCAAATTACGTTATTTGTTATTTAATTATATTTGAATTAAAAATGCATTTAATTTAAATTAAATTATAAATACTCATACGTGTACAATAGTATATAACAATTGCTTTAAAATTTTGTTTATTTATTCATTATTATATTTTTGTACAGTGTTGTTACTTCTTATCAAATATTTTAATTTAGTAATATTAATAACGATAATTATTTTAATAATTATTTTTTAAGGAAACTCACCAAATAATGAACTGATACAATTAGAATAATAGTATGTGTATGTATATTAGGTTATTTGAAGAGTTTTGTCTTTTTCTTTTTCTGTCTTTTTCTCAAAATTAAAGAAGTCAATTGTTTTAATTTGAATTTCTATTAATTAGTCTTTAATATAATATTAGTTATTACTAACTATTGGCTTCCGTTTATCTGCTTTTAAAAATGTTCATAAAATTATTTTATGAATTTTTTCGTTTTATTGTTGAAATTTCTCATTGTCTCTGTAATCTGATTCTTAATATCGAATTATTTTTCTATTAAATGATTTTCGAAACGTTTAAATAAATGACCAATTTTTCTAAAAAGGACTGGAAGCTGCATCCATTTCTCCATTTGGTATTAGCACAATATGCTTAAGCTGCACACTCTCATGGAACATATTTATCGACCAAATCCGCAAGAGCAATTAGTATTCCCTTTAATATTACATCGCTATTTTGAAGCTTATATTTCGGCAATTATAATGTACATAAATTTCATTTACTCGTGTTCCATCGAAATTCTCGAACAAAGCTGTAAATACACGAATAAAATCAATTGAAAAATATTTTCATTAACTTAATATACATTTAGTGAATTATCAAATACCTCGAATATGAAAAATTAAATATACTTACAATCACAGAAAACTTCACGATTAACCTCTTGTTCGTTCATATAATATTTATGTAATGGTTACCTCAAAATTCACGCAAGAAATAATTTTGTAAATATATAATTTTGCATATATTAATATACTTAGTATCTTCGTATCTTCTCTTTTTTCGTCGTCAACACTTTACCGCACAAATGGCGCGAAATTCAAATCTTGTGTGAATTTTGGGATACCCTATATATAATATAATGTCTATAATATTGAAATAATTTTTTCACTTGATTCAGAGACGTATGCCACCACCGATGTACAAACGAGAAACGAGATTCAAAGGTCAGAAAAGAGTCTCCGTAGGACGTTCAACAAGAAATAGCGATATACTGGAATTCAGATCGAAGGAACGCTTAGTTTCGAAAGAAGATTCTTCGAGGGAGAGTTACGAGGATTCAAACGCGTTTAAATCCGAGCCGAATTTTAATAATTCATCTGCAGATCCCACGGTACCGGATATACAGATGAACGACGACTTACAAGAACGAGATGAAAGTCTGGTACGAAAAAGATGATCACAGTCGATACATCTTCTATAATACATTCCAGATCATTGGCATTCCAATATTCGTGATACTAATCTTCGTCAATACTTACGAGAATTGATGTTTGTACACTACTTAAACAGGATTAACTCCCTGATTTTCCAAATATTCGTTTTGTCAATTAATATACCTTTATGAACCATAAAATTAATCACTACGACCGTTCTTGTAAGATCTTCTCGATTTTGTTTTCATTGTAAACAATTATCCTCCCTACATTACCCTTTCATCTTCAGGATTCTTCAAAGAGCTCAGATGATAACCCAAGATTGACCATCAAGAAGAAGGGCGACATCTCTACAAAGAGATCAGGACTAAATGAAGGTAAAGAGACCAGGCCGATACAGGCGAAGTCTGAAAAGGCGCAATACAAACCTTTCTCCTGCGACCTTTGTACTTTAGCTTTTACACGAGCTTCTCACTTGGCTAGACATAGAAGAGTTCACACGGGCGAACGACCATTTGCCTGTAACATTTGTCCTCGAATGTTTGCTAGACAGGATAAACTGAAGCAGCATGTGGACTCGCATTTACAGTGGCCGAAAAGAAAGAATAGCTTGTCGAGTTCGAGTTGTCAGTCAGCACCCTCTGTACCTGGCAAAGGAAAACGAGGTAGACCGAGAAAGGTTAGGTCTGTTTACATATTGTAAAGGATGTACAAAATCCTAAAATTCAATTTACAAATACTTTCATAAATAAATGATTTTTCTTCTTTTAGTATTTGTTGTTCTTACATTTTAACTTCAAGTGACACAAACGAATTTCTTTTATAACGAGTTATTGTTTACTGACAGTGGAAAATATTTTTCTTTTAATGACAGATTTTTATGTTAGTTATGAAAAAGGTATAATTAAATTGTTATTCTGTTTTCGAATATTTCATATTGTTTGCTACAATATAATTCAGAATGCATCTTTTAGCTATGAAAAGTTTATGCAATTAACCTACATAATAATAATACAAATATATTTGACAGGTAAATTTAGAACAGTCAGCCATGGAAGAAATTTTGAAATTCGGTGAATTCAGTTCTCTCCTGAACAAATCCCATTCCGCGAATTCAACAGACAAAAACGAGGATTTTACTTCTAACGAGGATGACAGAAAAATGAAGGAACAAGAGGAAGACATGGTAGAAGAGGAAAATGAAGATAAAGATAAAGACGCGAATAAAGATAAAGACAATTACGGTTGTCAGGTCGAAAATGGTCAAGATATTATTTAAATAATTTCCGTTTATCTTCTTCCGTACTTTCACAAAAAATATTTTTCTATGGGTAAGAAATCATATGGTTATATAATGACGAAAATTACCGAGCTTTTTCGATCAACGATACGATCCAGGTACTTTTCTCGATTTTTCTTTATCCATTGGATAACGTTTAATAGCGTGGGACAAATGTAACCTATAAATTCATTAGCATACCATGGGATATTTAATTAACTAAAGCTTTAAGTGCAATAATTCTTCATTCTCGGTGGTTATTCTTTCCCAAAGAAAATTTGTATTCTTTGAACTAGCGAAGTAAATTAGTAAGGTCGTAAATTGGTTAAAAGTTACATTTCATATTTATATACGTAAGATAAATACGCAACGATATGTATTAGAAACATTTTCACTATATACAACGCTAATTAGAAATTATCGTTTCAAAATGAAACGCTAACGGAATGAAACTGATTGTTGTGAAACGATTGTTACTCTTATACAAGAATTCGACATGTTTCATTTTCGTATATTTTTTACTATTCTGTTACTGCGGAAATAGCCGAGACGATATCTGAGATTTAGTCCATGTAAGCAAGAAATCGTGTAACATTTATTTGGGTTATCGATTCAACGTGTGAAAGAATTATATAGTTATACGATTATTCAAAATTCTCGCGAGGCCTGAAAAATAGGTAATCGAAAATGATTTCTATGATTAGGCATTAAACGAATAACTTAAAATATACTTAGACAAATATGAAAGCATATTTTTTAAATGGACAAAATATTTAAGTGACTTAATAATATATAAGATCATACGGTAGTCACTTATTGAAGTCTGACTGTACTTTCTCTATAAAATTACATTAATCCAATTTTGTCATTTTCAAACTCTCTTTGATCTCGTCGTAGACGCGAAATAACTTTATAAAGAGTCTTACCAAATAATTTTACCACGATTTTCATATTTATTTATTTATTAAGATTTGTGGTATCCTTGTTATAGATTAAATAGAAATTTGTTCGAAAGAGTACCTGAAGCACCTATGTTAGATCTGAGGCTAACTGAGGGTGAACACAGGCCATGTAGGAAAATAATAAACAATCCTTATCTCCCATTTTCCGAGATGGTTGTTTAGGTACTGATAAGTCGAATTCTACGATGATTCGCTGTCGTATACACGATATTTCTATCGTATAATAAGATTAGGGGAAGAAATTTATGTTGAAAACTCGACCAAATTACTTAAGATGGAAGACTGTGGTATGGTTTGCATTGTGAAACTGTTTAACTGATTAAAGCTTAAGTTATGTAATTGCTTTATGTTCTCGCAATATAAATTACTGATCTAGGAGGAATTATGTAGAATAATTTTCATAATTTTTTTAACATAAATTGTTTCTATATTCCTCCTACATCTAAGTTTATTTAAATACTTGTGCAATATCTGAAATATTTTAAACAAAATTTCATCGACTTTATATCACTTTAATTATCATGTTTGTAAAGCGTTTGTATCTTTAGCAGACGTTTTTGAATGTTGGCCTAACAAGCATTCGATCCATTTAAATGCCTAAACGATTTTTAAATGTCTATCGTACTATAAAACAAGAAGTAAATCAGCATACGTTTTTCGTTTTAAGTTTTGTATAAGTATATAATATGTCGTTGAAATTAATTTCAGTTTGTATCTCATTGTATAAAAATTATGCAGTTAAATGTACGACAGTGCAAACTACATCTATGTAGATGAGGCTCAACGATTCTCAGAGCCAGAAAAAGAAAATGTAGCTTCAAATATTTTGTTATACACGCGATTATAAATACGTCAAGTACAAATGTCCAAATATTAGAGTATACGTGTGCGTAAGTGTGCGTGCCTGCCGTACTATAAAAGGAAACGAGAGAAACAGCAGAATGTGTATAGCGTTCAAGAATTGGCCGGTGCGATTTTCTTTAATGATATCATTGTTAATTCGTTTCTGTTTATTTTCCTGATCAGAGGTGTAGCTTCTTAAACCATTTTCGATTAATCGACATTCTTTGTGTTCTTGTTTTTTGTAATTTTATAAGTAGTCATAATTGCGCTTACGTTCAGTGGTTCTAACTAAATGAAATAATTCGATGCTTAAAACATGGAATAGAATACATCTCCATTTATTGATATTGTTATTTATTCGTACAAATTGCGATTACGTATTTTTATGTTAACAAAGTAGATAAGCGTTTCTTTGTAATCCTTTGTTCTTTTCTTATGAGTCCATAGGAAGTCATTGATTCCATGTTTTGAGGTTAGGATAAAGAGAAGGAACCTGGAAGTTTTGGAAATTGAATCGAATTATTTTCATTTCGATGAATTTCACAAAAGCCAGTTTTATTCAAGTTCTAGAGTGATATAGGATAATATATTACGTAGCACACGTTAGTGCCATCCAAGTCGTGTTTTTCTGTAATATCGGTTGTTGTTGTTGTACGAATTGCATTTTATTTCGTTAAATTCTTGTTGCTCGACCTACCAGTGTTACACTTCCTGCATTATAAACTTTCATTACGGCGATGTGCAATTATTTCAGCGATATGACTCTTTGGTCTGCCACGGCGAATCACGAGTGTACTTGGTGCAATCTTTTAGAGCGTCCAGAAGGTCGTACGCGAGTCTTCATATCTTACAGTGTATATTGTGTAGTATGTGTAAATAAATTTTAAAGTCAATGTCCACTTTAATCGATACCATCGCCCTACGAGATTTTTTGATATTTTCAAATATCACGAACTTGACAGCGTGTCTCTGTTACTTTGTTTCTGAATATTGATTTGTTAGCACCATAAGATATAATAAATACGTAAGTTCGATGAGTTATAATTTCTTGCAATCCTATTTTACCAATCCTTTGTTTTTTTACAAAACAATTAATTGTAATTCGTTAATTGGAAATAAGTATTTTTTAAATCTTGTTTAATAAATTCATGAATGAAAATAAATGATTTACGCATTAAAAATGTGTAAATAAACATAATTAACAGTCGGGTATAAAGCAGCATTAAAAAAGTATCATTCTTTCTTGTTACTCGCAATTATCATTATATTCTCCGACATACAATATATCTTTATAAATACATTTTCTCGCTTATACACAGACTTTTTCACGAGTCAGGTGGGAAAGTTACGGATATAATTGTCCGTTTAGCATAATCATATACTTTCTCTTCGTCACGATTTACGATGATTACATAACGCCAAACTGTATACTAATCTCGTTATATCCGATTGCCATTGATAAAAAAATTATAAAGAAGAATCGTCTGAGTTCGAGATCAGCCTCGAGAGATATCGCAACTATAACCTCCAATTGGTAAACGCGAGCTCAGCGAATTAGTATTTTTCTAACATCGATTTAGTTTAAAGAGTTTTTTTTTCTTTCTTTCCTTAACTAGCCTTACACATTAAGTTACAACGGCGACATCGAAAGCACAATACTTGTCTTCTCTTTCTTTCATCCACTGTATTCCTTATTACTATTGATTGCATTTATGCAGCTGCATTAAAGAAGGAACCCGCGATGGATTTGGAAAACGTTTCCATTCGGTTAAAAAAAAAAGAAAAAAAAAATGATTACAACGAGCTTTCTGCGGACGAGTTTTACATTATTTATTTTACATTATGCTTAGCTAAATGCATATCATCTCCATTTCTTTGTTCTTATTATTATCGTCTGAACGTTACCTATATCCATACTATATTCATAATGATAGAATCGATGAAAGTTATCAGGAATCATTTATATATCTATCACTTTTATATCTCTTGATATAATAGTTTCGTATATGGAAATTCAAAAGATTAATTTCCCTTTAGAGGGAAGTAATTTTTACAAAAGATGTTATTTCTATAACGAATAAAGTGTTTCAGATTTTGATGTGCAATATAACAAATATTTGTATTGACAATGCATAGTCGTATAAACTAAAATTATAGCGCATTATGTCAACACTTTTTCCGTTTATAACCTTTCGTCGATTCAAACAATTCGATCTTTCTATCTTTAAGATTACTCTAAATTTCTTAAGCGATAACAGGTTACCAGCTATTTTGAATTAACACCGTCTTAATATTAAACTACATCCAATTCACTTGCACATAAAAATGTACGTGACAAGTTATTTCTGCTTCTCGAGACAAATTCGATCTGGACGATCCCTGACATTAATTCCTTTTCTACTTCCGTTCTTCGTATGCTCGATCGTGTCATCGAAATCGGTCTATTGTTAAAACTGTCTTGCATCGACGCTACAGTTGTCATAGTTACTTTCCTCTGACGAATTAGCACGATATATATAATTCTTCAAAATTAGAAAACAATAATTATTTATATAGGTAATGACACAATAAGATAAAATATATTATAACATAATAATAATTACTTACTTACAATTAAATTTCTTAGAATCTAAATTATACATATACACCATAAATTAGAATTCGTCAAAGGAAAATAGAAAACAATTTGCCCATTGTATTTGTATCATATCAAGCCTTCAATAAAAACGTCCTGGTTACAAGTATTATGTGTGTCATTCAGCAGGCAAGCAAACATACAAGTTCAATAATGGTGATACGTACGATAAATATCTTAAGACATAAACAGCAATATTCATTGGCTGTGAATTGTCAACTATACAACACAATAATATTTATCACGAAAATTCAAATTTTCAAAGAGATATAAAACAATCGCTATTAAATTTGATTCATAATACAACGTATTTCCTTCCATCACTTCCTTTATTTATACATGTTCATAAGCTGGGCAGGCTCGTGCGAATAATGTTGCAAATTGAATGTTTCAATGCGTTAACATGCTGTGAAACACGACGCAGAATTGTTATTTTACGATTAACCCCTGTACGTAGCAATTTCGTCGAACAGTTACAAGATAACCTCGCAGTTTTGTTTTATAATACTGTTTCTTTTATCTTCTAAATGCACTGCACATAATTTGTAAAATCACTTACTCACGTATTAATTTATTAAATCACTAAATTAATTCAAACACACAAAATCTGACTTGTGTAAAGTCGTTGGTAGTGATATAACGAAGTAGTAAATTATTGTATCACGTGGCAGCACCTGTTGATGCTGCAAAGGGCCGTATGCACTTTGCAGCTGTAGGTAATATACCAAGCGGTAATACGGAAAAATACTGTTAATTAATTTTTACTTTTATCTCAGTTCATTTATGGCAAATTACTATCAGTTTATTATTACTAATACTTGTGTTAATCTTGAATATTTAAAACAGCTTTAACCTTTTCGTTATAATAGTATGTTACAATGGAAGGACTCACTCTACATTGACATCGTACGGCACTGAATAAGCCTCGCGCAGCTCGCGATCTCAGGCATATATCTATACTTGCTATTGTGACATTCGAAACAATGGTTTCTTTTCAACTAACTTTGTGATCACGCTTTGTCACTACTAACGACCATACAGACACCGCAGTAATGCAATACTGATCCCTTAAATGTTCACAGAGACACGGTTTAAAACCAAGTATGGTTATTTATCTGAAGAGATGTGTTTCCATGAATTTAACCATTTTAACCGACTCTGATTCACTCTGCCGTGAATAAATTGAAGGTAAGAGAGGGAGAGAAAGGAACAAGAAGCGCGAGTAAAACAATAAAATACTGTTTACATAATATCGAAATCTACTTTCTGTTTTTCAGAATCCATATCTAGATACATTATTTTTAAGAAATTTAATCTTTCATGGATAAACATAATTTAATTGTTGATTTGGACTTCAAAAAAATCTGAGAAAACTCTATCAAGGTATATATATTATGCAATACTTTAAGTCCAATATTAAAACTTTCTTTTGATGAAAATAGAAATTTTTTTCCAAGAAATATAAGCCAAATTTTACTTGATTATTAATAGAAAGATAAAAATATAAAAACTTTACTCTTTTTTTTTTAGGTAATTCATTAATAATAGAATCATTGGAGAGATGAATTGTAAATGATGTTGAAACTCACTTTTTACGAGCAAGTTCAGAGGTTAATGTGAGTAATATGTGATCGTTTAAGCGAACAATACTATATTACATTATAAATTGAATATCATTGTATCGCATTCCGAGTATATCTCGTACAAGTAGCCACACAAGTATAAAATTGCTACGTACTGGGACAACTAAAATAACTTATGTTACATGCACTCGTACTTTAGTGTTCAAGAGTCTTCAGTGATCAGGACCGAAATTATACGTAACGTAAGTCGTTCCAGTAATTACAAATTGCGAGCTTGCTTGTGTGTTACTAGTAACAAGAACATACCTTAAATTTTATCTTATTGTCGTATAAAATGCATATATCTTTTTGACATATTTTCAAGTGAATTTTACACCCCAATCATATAATAAAATGCTTTATGTGCTCGATACTTATCGATATTTTGTGCGATACAACGATGTTTTTATTCTGTATTTACTTTCAACTATCTTATGCCTCTCGCATTTGTCTCGATTTATGTCTAATAGGATATTCTTACGAGATGACTCGATTTATGATTCACACAGTCCCTTTCTGGCGTGTGCGAATAGTATCTCGTATCGTAATTGAAATGGAACAAAGAAGAAATTACAAAATCGTAATCGATACGTACAATTGCGATTATCGATTTTCAATTCAGTTGCAAAGTATCTTTTTTCCTTTTATAAAAACAAAGGTTTGTTAACCTGAAATGTGCGTTGGTACGCTCGAAGCAATTTTCACACTCTCAACACGACACACGCGCTATGCACGTACACAGGCATACACACGTAACACATACATGCTCGCGAGTGCGTGGATATTGTCGATATATCGACAAATTTCGTCGATAATATCATTTATCGGATTTTTTACGTTTGTATTTGAAATATAATATTTATCCTTTTAATTAGTAATATTGCTTTCAAACAACATGGATCTCATACCGAACATTTGCAATTGATTAATTGGAACTCAGACTTTCATACTTTGTTTTTAAAATTTTGTAACTTTGGTGCGTTATGAAAATTGTCTTAATTTTAATTAATCACATAAAAAGTAAATGTTTGAAATATTTCGTCTTAATCGACTCAGCATGTGTAATCGTGTAATTCTAAAAGAAGTAAATGTTTCAATACCTGTCACAAGTTGTACCAAAGTATGTATGTTTGGATATATGTATGTATGTATGTATGATGTAAATATTAGTTACGCTTTTTTATACTTCCTTATCTGTATGTTACTATAATTTGTTGCAATAGCTGATACATTTTAGAAATTTATATCGAGTGAATGTTTAGATAACGCTATTGATTAAAGCGAACAGTTGATAATTTCAATTATTTTCTTTTACTCGGTATGAATTGTGATATGATTGCATTTTGTTGACACAAATTCGTATGCGACTCTCGCATACGCAGGTAACGGTGTCAGAAATTAAAAACTACGATTAGATTAAAAATACCATGCGTAGTATTTTGTAAATTAAAAGACGTTACTTTCTAACAGATCGAAATATTTAAAAAACGTTCTTACTTATTTTTCTTTGTTTTCGAAGGAAATATATATTCGATCACTTTGTGGATACAAACTGATAGGAATTGTCAAAGATTTGTATCTTCGCCATTGTTTGTCGTTCTAGCTACATAAGTAACACGTATCGGTGTAATGTATTCTGACGTATTGAACATTACAATTCTATTGAACAGTTCTTTTCTTTTTGTTACCTTTATTAACTGGCTTATTAAGAAATTATGTATTATTCTAAAACAAAGTGATTAATCGTGTAAAGTAATTAATCATTAGTCGTTCGTGAACTATTCGGGTTAATCTACGTAACTTACGATTTTGTCAACATGAATCACAAAGGTGATCGTTTTGGTAACAAGAAATACAATTTTCGCTCTTCTACTTCACAGGTATCTCAGGATAATTTGTTTTTACCTAAGAGTAATATCACTACAGTCGCAACCATTTATAGTTATTGAAATAATGAGAATCTCGTTACGTTCATTGAGCGGTAACGAAATTAATACAAATTTTGTATAACTACGTCGTTAACAATACTTTTCATCGTCATTATATATAATACGCATTCTTCGTACAACGAGGTGTCATTTGGTGAAACATAAATAATTTACAACAAAGCTAACAGGGAGACATTTCCACCGCAAACAAATGACACGTTATACACGTTATACGGATTCGGTATTCACTATTTACTGACTACACAGTTCTTTGATTTATACAAATCATGAACGGTTTGTTTCCATTAAAGGATACCATTTAAGTTTTCTCTTTTTCTTCTGCTTTATATTTCCTCGCTCGGTTGCCTTTCGCTTTGTCTTCAATTTTCTCTTCTTAGTGCATACTGTTTGTCATAACCATATCTATAAATGATAATTAGATATTAAAATTCTTCTTATAAATAAATATGGCTGATAAACTAGAACGTTTTCTGCCATTTTAATGATATAATATTTAAAATTATATTGAAATTAAAAATCCATTTTCTTAAAACTTTTTCTCTGAGCTTAATCAAATTTCAAATTATTTTCAAATCAATATTATATTTTGTTCACAATTCATTGCTGTGTGTATTGTATATGTATAAGAACGTATAAGAATATATGTGCAAGATTACAATGGATAGTTTCTTCACAAACAATAAATAAAATTTATTTATATTATGAATTTGCAATATTGAGATTTTATTCGTCCACAACATCTATTCTTTTCATACATTATTATTCAATTTTCTTATCTAAACAGTAATTTTTCTGAAAATTTGTTTTAAACATTTTATAAAAGAACAATGCAATATTTACAAATAAACAAATAATTCTTACCTCTTCGCTATTTAGTACTAGTCAGACCTGTTCATTTGTATCGATATTTCCTTCTTGCTTCAGCTCTTGCTTTTCTTTCTCTGTTTCCCCTTGTTTGTCCTTATTCTTCTCTTCCATTTCCGCCTCTTTCTCCTTCTCCTTCCCCATTTCCCTTACCTTTTCCTTCTCCTTCGTTTTCTCTTTCTCCTGATCATTTTCCTTGTACTTCTCCTTCTCCTTCTCTCTTTCCTTTTCTCGTTCCTTTTCACGTTCTCTTTCCTTTTCTTCTTTTTGTTTTCTTTAAAAAT